TGTGATGGCAAAGCTGAATTTTCTGCATCATTACTCCAATCTTCAGTGTCACATGATCCTTCAGAAATCATATGTTGATTTAGTGCTCAAGAAGCATTTATTATTATCAACGTTGAAAACAGTTGTGCTGCTTGATATTTTTGTGTAATCACAAAATTTTTTCAGGATTCTTTGACGAATACGACCCCAAAAGTATGAGCAATAGAAATAGTGATGCTTGCCATATAAAGAACCACAAATCATTTTTTATATATATTTCTACTGTGCTTTTGCACCTGGTATGAGTTTCCTGCGAGCCATGGCAGCTGCTTTGTGGGATTCATACTCAACAAAGGCAAAGCCACGATTCTTCATCCTGTCCATTGCACTGGGATACACAATCACATCCATGACCCCTTCAGTCACCTGGACATAGAATTGCAATATAAAAACGATTAGACATTATAACAGAAACAATAATAACTAACTGTTTTATTATTGCTTCTGTGATGTAATTAGTCAATTTCTTTTCTTTCACTAGATGGTGCTAGATGGTGTAACACAATGTCTTTCATGTTGTATTCCTTTCATATTGTATATGAATTCATATTGTATTCACACAATATATTTCATATTGTTTTAGTGAAGTGAAGTGGTGACATGTGGCCAAGTATGGTGTCTCATACTCAGAATTTGTGCTCTGCATTTAACCCATCTAAGTGCACGCACACAGCTGTGAGTAGTGAACAAACACACACTCATGAACACATCCAGAGCAGTGGGCAGTGCCTTGCTCAAGGGTCTCACCTCAGTCGTGGTATTGAAGGTGGAAGATCTCACTCCCACCACCTACAATCCCTGCCTGTATAGAGACTCGAACCCATGACCTTTGGGTTACAAGTCCGACTCTCTAACCATTAGGCCACGAGTTCTGTGTAGTTTCTAATATGCTGTGTGATATACTGACCTTCATCATTTCTTCTTGGATCTCCTCCTTTTTCTTGTCTTTCGGGATGGAGCCGATAAAAAGGCGACAGTTGTCTAGACTCACACATACTCCTATGAACTTTCCGGGCCGGATTTCATAGTTGTCTAGGAGCTGGATGACTCGTTGGGCTCCCTCGCGTGTGGTGTACATGACGAAGGCATAGCCACGGTTCTCCCCGCTGAACTCCATCATCAGACGGAACTCATAGATACGACCAGCCCGCTCAAAAACAGGTACCAGCTCGTCCTCATACATGTCTCTTGGGATTTTACCCACAAACACCTCACAACCTCTTGGAGGAGGAGGGCCCTCCCAACCTGGGGGCGTATTACAGAAAGATCTTAACTTTAGAATCTTATCTGTTAGGTAACCATGGCAATTTCAGTTAGGACCTCGTTTAGGACAAAAGCTATTACAGAACACCATTGCCTAAGTGCATTATCTTATCTTAACTTCAGATAAGAAAACGGTATTACAGAAGCATCTTAACTCGCAAAAAAATCCTAAAAACGGTCTTAACTTTAGGGTAACCCCACTGGTGTCACAACTTCAAACCTTTTTGAAATCCAACTGTAAAAAAAACACATTACATTAGCCCTTTTCAAGAACGGCATAACATTTATTAATCATACAAGATGAAGAGAAGCGAAGTTTGATGTTGGAGAGACTTTTGAAGGATCCAAAAGATGTGTTTCTCTTTGATGATAAAATACTTGTATATAATTACAAACTCCCACCACACATGATTTTGCAGTTAGTTCAAGTTCAAGTGATTGTCAATCCGCCATATGTGCAGACGTACAAATGTCGTGCCTCACAGGACCACAGTGCTACATATAGACAGACAGATATAACTCTATAAAAATATATATACATAGAGCCTATATACAGTATATAGAGTTGACCAATTGCGACAAACATTACAGAGTCCCATGAGCTGTCACAGAGCACTACCAGTCATTCTGCAAGTTAAAAGCAGGCCGTTGTTTCTCCATTTTGATTTGATGTTTGCCTCAGCAGCAGCTTGCGCGTAGTTGGTTGCTTGGTAATAGACCTGTCAGTGTCTAACTCGATCGAGCAGTTTAAGATTTCCTAACTAGACATGAGATACAATTTTGTAAGATAAGATAAGAATCCTAAATCAAGTTAAGATTTGCTTCTGTATTACGAATTTGTGAAAAATCCTAAATTAAATGATCAAGTTCAGACCTAAGATAGGAAGTTTCTGAAATATGCCCCCTGAGACATAACTTTAGTGAATGATTATGAACACCACTAATTCATGCTACATAAAATAATATTTTGTATTACATCATTCCAGTCTTAATTTTTAACATAGAAATGTTTTACAGGAATATTCTTGCACATTGTATGGTAAATTATGATACAGGATAATAAAGCTAAATATATCATGAGAAGTGGAGCAATTTAAACTTTGGCTACTTGCAAATCATATACTTATGAATCAATCTAAATCTACACTGTTAAATGTTAAAGTCAATGTGAAATGGCATTTCCAGGTCATTTTAGGACCGTAATATGATATGTAATGGTATTAATCAAGAAAAAGCACGGGTTGGAGCTTGAACTATATCTATCTTGAATTGATTGGATTTTGCAAAGGTGGTAACCAAACAGTTGCAGGTAGCCACTGATTTCCATGGTATGGTAAAAATTCTATGGAAGTCAATGATTACCAACAACTACCAACAACTGTTTGGTTACCAAAATATCTCATTGTGTGAGAAGAAAGAAATTCATACCATTTGGAACAACATGAGAGTTAGTAAATGATGAAAAAAAAAAATCATTTTTGGGTGAACTATCCCTTTAAGCTTATTGTGAATTTGTATTTAATTGTGAATACTTTGTCCCGGGATTTAGAGATTTAGAAAGACAAATGTAACTACAATAGTAGCCTAAAACAGGGGGTTTCAAACCTGTTATGGAGGCCCCCCCAGCACTGCACATCTTGTGTTTCCCTTATTGGACACACCCGATTCAGGTCTTGTGGTTTCTACTAATGAGCTGATGGGTTGAATCAAGTGTGTTAGATGAGGGAGACACCCAAAATGTGCAAAGCTGGGGGGGCTGACTTTTTTCTTTCTTCTGTGGAATGCAAAAGAAGATATTTTGAAGAATGTTGGTAACCAATCAGTTTCAGTTCCCATTGACATCAATTGATTGGACAAAAAATACAATAGAAGTCAATTGGAACCTTTTGGTCAATGGGAAACTGTTTGGTGGCCAATATTCTTCAATGTAACTTCCATATAAGAAAGTTATACAGTTTGAAATGACTTGAGGAGAGACATTTTTGGGAGAATTATCCATTTAACATTATTTTCCCTTCCCATGTGACCTATTAACACAGTATTCACGTGGACTAGATGATGTCAGCCAAAAAGAATAGATTTATATATACAATATATACACATTCACCCTATTTACTTACCTATGAACTTATAGAAACATAGCACACAGAAAACTAAGAATCTAGCTAATGTTATGTAATGCAATGTACAGTAAGATTTTTTTAGTTTACCTGGAGGTGGACCACCAAACTTTCTCTGACCATTTTCCTGAACCATGCTGTAGCCTGTCCTGTCCATCAGGGCCAAAAGAGCAGCTTCTTTAGAGCTGTCCATCTTACTGTTATCAGATTGCTGACTGGTGCTGCCTTCATCCATGACCACTTCAGAAAACAGTGCTACCAAAGAAAATCGTGGTGTCAGTTTTCTCTCAAATCTATCACATTCGACGCCTTTCATTTATCATACTTCAAATGACGTACGTATATTTCTGTAGATAAGCGGACTATGTAGGAAAACTGTACGGCGTTACATACAAATGTCTCTATTTATTGATAACATGTGATGACTTGTGAGATTCAAGGCTCTCGTAGGAACGCAGCTTTGCAGCTCAGCTAGCATAATTGCACAGTTAGCATCATAACTATATCTTTCAAGTAACGTAACAAAATATACGGTCTTATACGAATTTAATGTCTATTTATTTATGATAATAACAATACGACCTATTTTAATAAATCACTATTATATAAAAACTTCGATACTCGTGACAAAAAAATCTAAGTCAAAATTTTGAGGTAAAAACGTTCGTCGTATTAAATGATAACAGGACAGCCAGACCATTTAAACGAGCGGGAACCTGTAAAGTCGACCAAAACAAGTGTTTTTAGTCGATTATATGTTATATACCAAGCTGCATGTGAATACTATTATGATCTGAGAAATGTGTGACACACTTATGTCAGCAACATTAGAACTAATCTTCAAACTCATATTGATTTAACGTTAATTAAACCGCTTCTCTTACCTTTTGGCCACTCAATGAATTAACAAACGTATAAAAATGGGGATAACTTCGTGTGACGCTCGATGATCGACGGTTCGATGCTCAAACGCTATTTACCTGACAGTCGGGTTTCAACCAATGATCTGCAGGGTATTTCCGCAGAAGGGCTTCATTTGATCTACACTTTACACTTGCAATTCACTTTTCAACATTCAAGAGAAAAAGTGTTTGTCAAAATTGAGGAAAAGCAGGGATATTTTTTTCACTCTGAACTTGTGCATTGTCCAGTGAGAAGACAGAACCAAATTGTCATAGGCTATATGGCATTTATTTATTTATTTTATTCTTTATTTATTTACATTAACTAACATACCATGGCTTTTACAAAATATACCATGGAATTCTTTAAAGTACCTTCAAGTATTATATAAATAAGCATGTACAGTACATGATCATCTTTAATTCTTCTTTAATTTTTTAATAGGCCTACTGACATGGCATTATTTTAAGTCACAACAAACAGTAAGAAAATAAAGTATCTATCTGCTGTGCCTTAACATGACAGCACTGGAAAGATCACATCCTTATATGGGTTTAATCAAAAATTCTTCTTTTTCCTGATAAAACTTAATTTAGCTACTACCTTCTTTTTTTTTCCAAGAGGTGCCCCAGGATAATAAAGCACTATTTTGAACTCATTAATAAAATAAAATAAAATGAAATGTCCACTTCAGGATGCCATCCAAATAATGAAGGGGATGATAAGCATTGGTAAAATTCCAAAGATGGACACAGACTCCATATAAAACATGATGAACAAGCACAACAGAAAGCTTAGAAGAGAGCTTGTCTTGCTGCACGCGATCTTGCGCACAGCTTTGCAGAACTGTTGAGGAGAAAACAAAGAAATCCAAAGTTAAAAATTTAGCATTTGCATTCAGAAGAATCAAAAAAAATTTGACAAATAAAAATGAGAAACGTCAGTTGAGGAACTTGAGTCTCTCTTTAACACTACACTGTAAAAAATGACTGTGAATTTAACGGTAAAAGACTGTAAAAATGCTACAGTAAAAACCTGTTAAATGGTTAACGGTAAATTCCCCTACTATATACGGTGAAAAACTGTATTGGAAATTACATGTATTGGACATAAATTTTATGGTAGTATACTGTTTTTGGAAGTGAAAAATACCGTATAATTTACAGTGAATAACCGTAAATTGACATTCCCAGAATTCCCTGCATTACATTTCAAATTTGATGTTTTTTTCGTTGAAATAACTATGTTTCTTCTTAGTTTTTTCTTATCAGTTTTGTATATTAGGGTTGTGTGTTACACCTAATGTTGTTAAATGAATGTTTATTGCATTATTTCAGTTTCATGTGTGTTACCATGATGGCGTTTGTGTGACTGACACTGTGCACCTTCTATATATGTTATTATTTAAAAGCTGCTTGTGATGGGCTTTGGTTCATCATGTGACTTTCTCATCACCACCTGCATTTGGTGGTTATCAGTGTATCACAAAACATATTTCAGTACTTCAATAGGTTGGTATATTATATCAGTTAATGAAATTACGGTATTTAACTGTAAATTTTATTTAAAACCTAAAACGTTGCTACCGTATTTTCTACGGTAAAATTCCGGCAACCACAGCTGCCGTTTTTTTACCGTAAAGTTTACAGAATTTTTTTTACAGTGTAGGTGACAGTAATGTTTTTTTGGTGTTGCTTGGGTGGAATTTTACTAAATGCCTAAATGCATAATTATTTTCAAAATTACCACCACAGATTTCATGATTTCCATGGTTAATTTTCATCTAATGGAAATTAGATCATTTGCACAGCCTAAAAAAAAATTCTCCTTTGATGAGCCTATTTTAGATTTTTGTGGCAAAATCATGCTTTCACCACAGTTGGAGAGTGGTTAGTTTTTATTATGCATGCCCTTAGAATATCATAATCTTTCTTTAGACAAAAACAAAAAACAAAGCGAGATTATGTGTTTGTGTGTGTGTGTCCATTGAAAGAGTTTCAAAGAGATTACAGCCTGTTCCCATGGAATCTGCAGATTAACATTCTTGCTCAAATCCAGCTGGAGCAACTGAATCAAAATATAAATAAATATGATAAAAATGCCATAAAAGTCAATGGTCAGATAGTTTAAATGCATGTTTGATGTCTGCCTGTCCTCTTCCACATCTTGGTTATAATATTGAATTTTCAGATATTTATTTCAAAACATTAAATGAACCATTAAACATTGTTTTAACTGAAAATACTGATACCAGCTCACATATAGTGATATAGATTTTTTTTTTTTTTTACCTGTTTGTGAACTGAAAGTTTTGTGGACCTGAATGACTCTATATACTATGTAAACAGATATATTTGACTAAGTTATTCCAATTCACATTTACTTCAGCCCTGCACATTCATTCACCAACCTTACAAAAGAGGTTTATTTCTCAATCGCAGTAAATTTCTCAACCTGATTTTTGCATGTAATCTCATTTGAAACGGAATTAGTGCTGCTGCCACACATCCTTAACCTAGTTCACCAGCTAGCTGGTCAACATTACAATGCAAATTAATGTATTTTCATCCTAATTCCAAGAGTTTCAGGTAAATAGTCAATGCAATGTGGCTGAAAAAGTATCCTCAGCCACGTCACACATTAATTGATTGAAAGTAGCAATATAGATGGGGCAAATAACTATATGCTTCATGAATTTTAAGACTCCTTACTTACTTTGGATTACTTTTATTACATAAATTCAAGTTGACATGGTCTTACATTTAAAAAATACATGTTTATTCAGCAACCCAACCTAAGAAAGTCAAATCTGGTACTGAATACTGAAGTTCTTGGTACTGAAATTGTTGATAAAATGTAAAGATTTACAAATACCACTGAGCTTCAGGTGAATTATTTCAACAATATCTGATAACCTCTTTGATTTACATATTTACTGATTGATAGAATATCACAGACTGCTGATTTTGCTCCCTTTTTCTCTCCTGAAAAATCTCACCTGGTAGGTCTGAAAGCTCATGCTGGTGCCATATCTGCAGTACATGACGTAATGCTCGCAATTGTACCACAGCAGACTGTAAACCACGGAGCCCAAGAGCTTTTCGGCTCTCTTAGCGACCTCCTCACCCTCGAACGGAGACCGACTGCACACCTTGTCCATGTGGTTGACCAGAATTTCTGCTCCATACGCAAAGTCCTCCAATGAGTCCACGCGGACACTTGCTCTTTTTGCTATCACACCCAAAATCAGCCTGTTGTTAGTCACCATTTTCTCAAGGGCATTCTTGTCAGTGGTCAAGACTGGCATGATATCAGGAATGAGGTGAGCCACACGGTTGTTCCCCAGATAAATTCCGAAATGTGTAAAAAGAGTTCGAGGGACCTCTAGCAGATCTCCTCTGTTGTACATGGAGATGTCATATTGGACCACTTGCTGCTTCTTCTTCTTGTCTTCAAAGTCTGTGGCCATAGCAATGTAAAACAGGCTGAGGAACTGTAGAGGAAACATCCTGGAGATGTGGTGAGATTCTAGACGGTCTGACACCTGCAGGTTTTATCCCACTTGAGGCAGACTGGGGAGGGGCTTGAGGATTACAAACCCAGAGCTATTTTCAGAAAAAAAAATAAACTCCATCACATGCCTAATGAAACAAACAATTCATAGTTACCCAATGACTTTCTCACACTTTGTGGATTAAATTACCTAAGGTTTTCTATTTCTGTAACAAAGAAAGGCATGCTCCTTATATAATGAACAAATGTTGCGGCAATGGCGATATATAATTCCTTAACATGAATTACTGATTATAGAACTTTTCCAAATTCCCTTGGTTAAATAAAATCAACTCTTATGCTTGAACAGACAAAAATGAATTAACAATTTTCAAAAACTACTTGTTAACACTGAAAAAAAAGAGTTAAATTGTAAAAATAAAAGTGCAATTGTAAACTATACATTTTTAACAATTGAATTGAAACAATTGATGTTTGTCTTTTTGTAAACAGCTCAGAAAATAAACACAAAAGCAAAAACTGATTAAAATTATTGTTTTATTATTATTAACCCGGTGTCGGGTTTTGCTCCAAGAGACTTTTTTGTAGGTTTTTTGTTTTTTGTAAGTTTTTTCGAGCATGTCTAAGCCCTCAAAAATGTGATTCATTTTGGAGAATAATAATAAACAACTGACCAATTCCAATTTCGTTGAAGGGCGTGCACTGCGGTGCTCAGGCCCTAAATATCTTAGCCTGTTTTTGTGCTATAATTAGGCAAGAGCATTTAAAACACAATTTTATCATTTGAATTTACATTTATTTACTTGTTAACAGTACAGTATGTTTTCAAAAAAGGGTGTCATAAAAAATTTACAACAAAGTAAAATGTTAATATATGAAGGTAAAAATAATGAAAAAGATTAAGTTATCAATAGCAAAAAAATACAACTGTCAGTGACAACAATCTCTGCAGTGACATTCTATAATAAAGCCAAAAATGCAAACTTTTTCTACATTAAATAGTTCGTAAGGGTTTAGATTTGAAGTGTCTCTCATCCAGCCATCCACAAGATGAAAGGAATGATAAAGGTTGGAAGTGCGGTGGACGGCGCTATTCCAAGAAAAAACATGGAAAGCATTCCGATGACAGTGGTCAGAAGAACACTCCTCTGGTCCCGGATCACTGATTTTAAACTTTCACAGAACTGTTGAGGGAAAGAGATGGCATCGATGAGATTCAGAGCATTAAAAGAAATAAAAACAGTCATTCACATTTGAGACATGCTGCATTGAATTGAAACAATTGATGTTTGTCTTTTTGTAAACAGCTCAGAAAATAAACACAAAAGCAAAAACTGATTAAAATTATTGTTTTATTATTATTAACCCGGTGTCGGGTTTTGCTCCAAGAGACTTTTTTGTAGGTTTTTTGTTTTTTGTAAGTTTTTTCGAGCATGTCTAAGCCCTCAAAAATGTGATTCATTTTGGAGAATAATAATAATAATAAACAACTGAGCAATTCCAATTTCGTTGAAGGGCGTGCACTGCGGTGCTCAGGCCCTAAATATCTTAGCCTGTTTTTGTGCTATAATTAGGCAAGAGCATTTAAAACACAATTTTATCATTTGAATTTACATTTATTTACTTGTTAACAGTACAGTATGTTTTCAAAAAAGGGTGTCATAAAAAATTTACAACAAAGTAAAATGTTAATATATGAAGGTAAAAATAATGAAAAAGATTAAGTTATCAATAGCAAAAAAATACAACTGTCAGTGACAACAATCTCTGCAGTGACATTCTATAATAAAGCCAAAAATGCAAACTTTTTCTACATTAAATAGTTCGTAAGGGTTTAGATTTGAAGTGTCTCTCATCCAGCCATCCACAAGATGAAAGGAATGATAAAGGTTGGAAGTGCGGTGGACGGCGCTATTCCAAGAAAAAACATGGAAAGCATTCCGATGACAGTGGTCAGAAGAACACTCCTCTGGTCCCGGATCACTGATTTTAAACTTTCACAGAACTGTTGAGGGAAAGAGATGGCATCGATGAGATTCAGAGCATTAAAAGAAATAAAAACAGTCATTCACATTTGAGACATGCTGCTATGTTTTTCTGGGGGCTCGCATCTCCCCAAACCCTCTTGCCACTGAAAGAAGCTGTTGTTCCTTTTTGCGCTAAAATGACCCAGATTTTAGCTCTAGGTCAGCTAAATGACATGAAAATACATTGTCACTGGAGATGGAAGCAATGAATTAAAGAGAGGTAGAAAGAAAAACGCCCAACACTAACGCCTATCTCTGGCATTTCAGAAAAGCATCTTAAAGAGATCTCAACCCTAGCTTTTAGTAACACTTTCTTTTAGTAGCACTTTATTCGTACAAAAATAGCTAAATACACCTCTTGGACAAAAATAAATAAATAAATCAGAAGAAATTCATTAAGGTGTTGATTTGAACATTTTTGTTTTTAAAGGTGACATATCATGAAAATCTGACTTTTCCAGGTTTTAAGTGCTATAATCAGGTCCCCAGTGCATCTACCAACCAAGGAAACGTGAAAAATATTATCCCAGTAACTTTGTTTTGGGAAGTCTTTTTCTTTTTTGCTCCCTTGGTGACATAGCCCAGTGGTTCCCAACCCTGGTCCTTGAGGCACCCCAACACTGCACATTTTGCATGTCTCCTTTCTATAGGCGCGTTTCCATTACAGATTTGCGCAAAACTTTGGCGATATTTTATAAATGCCGATTAAAAAAAGTATTGCGAAATGACGCCGTTTCCATTAAGCATATTTTCAATTCGCAATTTCAATTTGCGCAATTTGAAGGCTAATGGAAACGTGCCTTATGATGCACCAATTTCAGGTCTTGGAGTCTCTACTAATGAGCTGATGACCTGAATCAGGTGTGTTTGATTAAGGAGACATGCAAAACGTGCAGTGTTGGGGTGCCTCAAGGACCAGGGTTGGGAACCACAGACATAGCCAATGGACCTCATTATAATATTACCGCCCCTTAACCTGTAAGTTTACACCCACAGCGCCGTTTTTGTGTTTTCGCAAGCGACTACAGTGTACCAGTTCTAATGCCATGGTGAAAGTTTGAGCAAAACATGCTAACTGTTCTGTAATTGGCTGCACAGATGAGCACAGAACTCTATTTACCGTCCCAGCCTCAGAGGAGACAACAGAGCAGTGGATTTATTGATTTATTTACAGTATATTGCAGCTCTATTCTGGAAAAGGGGGCGGGGAGCAGCAGCTCATTTGCATTAATTAGGCAAGAGCATTTAAAACACAATTTTATCATTTGAATTTACATTTATTTACTTGTTAACAGTACAGTATGTTTTCAAAAAAGGGTGTCATAAAAAATTTACAACAAAGTTAAATGTTAATATATGAAGGTAAAAATAATGAAAAAGATTAAGTTATCAATAGCAAAAAAATACAACTGTCAGTGACAACAATCTCTGCAGTGACATTCTATAATAAAGCCAAAAATGCAAACTTTTTCTACATTAAATAGTTCGTAAGGGTTTAGATTTGAAGTGTCTCTCATCCAGCCATCCACAAGATGAAAGGAATGATAAAGGTTGGAAGTGCGGTGGACGGCGCTATTCCAAGAAAAAACATGGAAAGCATTCCGATGACAGTGGTCAGAAGAACACTCCTCTGGTCCCGGATCACTGATTTTAAACTTTCACAGAACTGTTGAGGGAAAGAGATGGCATCGATGAGATTCAGAGCATTAAAAGAAATAAAAACAGTCATTCACATTTGAGACATGCTGCTATGTTTTTCTGGGGGCTCGCATCTCCCCAAACCCTCTTGCCACTGAAAGAAGCTGTTGTTCCTTTTTGCGCTAAAATGACCCAGATTTTAGCTCTAGGTCAGCTAAATGACATGAAAATACATTGTCACTGGAGATGGAAGCAATGAATTAAAGAGAGGTAGAAAGAAAAACGCCCAACACTAACGCCTATCTCTGGCATTTCAGAAAAGCATCTTAAAGAGATCTCAACCCTAGCTTTTAGTAACACTTTCTTTTAGTAGCACTTTATTCGTACAAAAATAGCTAAATACACCTCTTGGACAAAAATAAATAAATAAATCAGAAGAAATTCATTAAGGTGTTGATTTGAACATTTTTGTTTTTAAAGGTGACATATCATGAAAATCTGACTTTTCCAGGTTTTAAGTGCTATAATCAGGTCCCCAGTGCATCTACCAACCAAGGAAACGTGAAAAATATTATCCCAGTAACTTTGTTTTGGGAAGTCTTTTTCTTTTTTGCTCCCTTGGTGACATAGCCCAGTGGTTCCCAACCCTGGTCCTTGAGGCACCCCAACACTGCACATTTTGCATGTCTCCTTTCTATAGGCGCGTTTCCATTACAGATTTGCGCAAAACTTTGGCGATATTTTATAAATGCCGATTAAAAAAAGTATTGCGAAATGACGCCGTTTCCATTAAGCATATTTTCAATTCGCAATTTCAATTTGCGCAATTTGAAGGCTAATGGAAACGTGCCTTATGATGCACCAATTTCAGGTCTTGGAGTCTCTACTAATGAGCTGATGACCTGAATCAGGTGTGTTTGATTAAGGAGACATGCAAAACGTGCAGTGTTGGGGTGCCTCAAGGACCAGGGTTGGGAACCACAGACATAGCCAATGGACCTCATTATAATATTACCGCCCCTTAACCTGTAAGTTTACACCCACAGCGCCGTTTTTGTGTTTTCGCAAGCGACTACAGTGTACCAGTTCTAATGCCATGGTGAAAGTTTGAGCAAAACATGCTAACTGTTCTGTAATTGGCTGCACAGATGAGCACAGAACTCTATTTACCGTCCCAGCCTCAGAGGAGACAACAGAGCAGTGGATTTATTGATTTATTTACAGTATATTGCAGCTCTATTCTGGAAAAGGGGGCGGGGAGCAGCAGCTCATTTGCATTTAAAGAGACGGCCCGAAAAACAGCGTGTTTCTGCTTCCACTCAAAATAGGCATTTTCAAAATAATATAATAAATCATCTGTGGAGTATTTTCAGCTGAAACTTCACAGACACATTCTGGGGACACCAGAGACTTATATTACATATTGTAAAAAGGGGCATAATATGTCTCCTTTAAAGTAAACAATAGATAAAAAGCTAACTGTGGTAATAGTTGAGGTAAATTATTTGGTAAAATAGGTAAATTATTTGAATTAAAAAAAACGTATATTAATAATATTACAAATAACAGAGAAGTAATTAAAAAAATATATATTATTATTAAACATTACTAAAAACGTTAATTTGCTAATTTAAAGTCAGAGTGAGGAAAACAAAATGCAGGAAGCCATTTTGTTGTCATGTGACAAGAAAACCATGAGCCGACTCCTTTAGATCGGACTGCCGAAGTTATAAAATTGTAATAATAATTAAAGAAAAAAACGTTTTTGAACCTTTCATGAAAAGGCATGCTTTGTTTAAGTCAAATGGAGCATATTAAGCAAACTTCTTAAAAATGTGGAAAAAAATCATTAAAAATATTTTGATTGTTACACTACTCTTCTTACATTTCTTACTTACATTTTCGACATTTTTAAATTCATAAATATTTTTTGTATATAAAAAAATATTCTCATTTCTGGGAATGTCTTTTCTTTATTCGTCACCGACTCCTTTTTAACATTAATTTCTTTAAGCTATATAGTCTACATAAATGAATTAATCCGTTTAACCCATAAATTACGTCTAAAAATATTTAAACTAAAAAAAAAAAAAATTCTTATCATCCGTGTGCAAACTTGCATTTCATCTGTATGTTTATATGAATCTTGCTAAACCTATTTTTAAACGAATCTTGCTAATGTATAACTGTGCGTAACATCCAAAGAAAAAAGTCAATAAATTGGTAACATTTAATTATTAACTTTTAAGTGTCTCTACAGGCTGTGGTTATGAAGTATGCACTCTTCGACTCTCAAGGAAAACGTGCAGAAGAAGCCAACCGTGTTTACCTGCTCTGTCTGCAGGCTGACCGCTGTCCCGTAGCGGCAGTACGTGACAAAATGTTCGCAGTTATTCCACAGAAGGCTATACGGAATATGACCAATAAGTTTTTCAGCTCTTCTGGCGACCTCCTCAGCGGCCAGCGGCTGTCTTCTCAGGGTAGTATCCATCGTGTTGAGCAAAATAAGAGATCCGTAGGCAAAATCCTCCACCGTGTCGACCCGTATCGAGGCGTACTTGTAGATCACACCGAGCAGCAATCTCTTATTAGTCACAACTTTCTGGATTTGAGATGTGTTGCTCGTCAGAACCGGCAGTATGTCAGGCATTAGGTGTGCAACTTTGTTGTCCCCGAGAAAAATCCCAAAATGAGTGAACAAAGTGCGAGGAACCTCCAGCAGATCCCCGCGCTGGAAATAGGAGCTCTCCTCGCGGCGTACTGGGCATCTTTCTTGTTTAGATGAAGTTGTGCTGAAAAAGTGAAAATGTGCAAGAAGGAAGGTTTTCTCCAACAGCAAAGCAAGGGAATCTAACATTTTGCAGTGCTGCTCAGGCTTCACTTCCCCGCTTCGTTTTATTCTAAGGAGCAGCGGTCCGTCATTGCGTCACTGCGTTGGCGGAGACTATTGGCCGCTGCTGATGCTCTGTTGAAGAGCTGTACAAATGGAAACAACTGTAAACATGGGGAAAAATAATGTAATAATGGTACAATGTAAGTGTAAGTTACCTTATCGCATAAATGTAGCCTATACTTTGGACACATATAAGAAATGTTGTCTTAACTAAGTTTGTGTTTGTTTGTTTGTTTGTTTGTTGTATAGACTAAATTTAGGAGTGGAAGTAGAAGGTAGGACTTATGCAAAATTAGTATTATAAAAAAAGGTAGATCAAATAAACTCAGGCTCCAGTCTACACCCTTTTCAGTTGATATGGAAAATTACGTATAAATAGTATTTATGTATAACTTTGTATTTATTAGAATTTATGTATGAGGACCCAAATAAAAATCTTGATCATGATGGAAGTACTCACCGTTCATTTTAATTTAGAAGTAAAATGCCATTCTGTAATGCTTATACGGTTTTATTTTTACACAAAAAAGTTTTAAAGTAAAGTATTTATGAATACACTCAAAACATTATCCCAATTGGAGTACTGTGTGTGTGTGTGTGTGTGTGTGTGTGTATATACTGACATTATACACACTAAAAAATGCTGGGTAAAATAGGGACAAACCCAGCAATTGGGTTGTTTTGACCCAGCGGTTGGGTTAAATGTTTAACCCAACCTTCTGGGCAGTAACCCAACCGCTGGATCAAAATAACCCAATTGCTGGGGTTGTCCCTATTTCACCCAGTTGTATTTAACCCAGCATTTTTTAGAGTGTATTATATAACGGAGAAATTGTTAGTAAATTTCGCAAACAATTACAAAGAAATGGCAAGTAACAATAAATTAAACTTTTTTTTTTTTTTACATATAAATATAAATGTAATTTTTCTATTTATTTATGTTTCAATATTTTAGTTATGAACTCAAACGTTGTTCTGCAAATCTATTTAATTTGTTCTTATGGCTATTGCTCAAAAATGAACAAACAAACTAGTTAAACCGAAGGTCTCTGAACTCCAGCAGTGTCTGGACTTTCTCTGATGTAGGTATGTGCAGGGTAGACGTGGAAAACGTGAGAGCAGAAAGTTTGGGTAACGGTGGTTTGAAGTTGAGAGCTAGTTCATGCCATATGGCAATAATTAAAGTCCTCAATACATTCACCCAGACCGCACCAAACAAGAGCTCCTTTTACCAATAGACCAGTTTGCGAGACGTGCAGACAGAGCACGTCAGCACTTTATTAAAAGTCCTCAGAAATGCAGCCATCACATTTCCAAAACAGAAAAGGATTGAATTCACCACGAGTTCAGCAGCACTACTAATGAATACCAATAGCACTAATGCTCTAAACTATAGAGTGTGTCAATGGAATGAAAACAACCAATTGTCTTGTAAATAGTCCAGCTCCATACAATCCTTAATGCAAAGTTTATAAAACCCACATTGAGCTTAACGGGACATTAAGTGGTGAAGTGTTAGCAAAATGATGCAAAACAGTCTTAACTCAGAGATAAAGAAAAGGATTAAAGCTGCCCCAAAAAGCCGCCCTCCCCCTGAGGTTCACTTTTGGGGGACAGCGATGATGGACAGGAGGAGAAATCAGTGTCACAGTGGTAACAAAGGTGTCCCAGTGAGGGCAAAAGCTGAATGTTGAGTGATTAGTGATTATTCGGTTCTCTCTCTCAGAGCTGTTGCTTGCTTGAACAGCAGTGCAGCGCTGAAAGATAGCGGGTGATAAATGATAAGCCATTTATCTTCCTTCTCTGTTTTGTCCCCCAGCATCCCAATGTCTGTATGTGACAGCTGAATGCGCTTGTGATAAATGTGCGAGTTTTGAATGAGAGTGATTTTGGTTTATGTGACCGTGAATGACACACTGTTGCATTAAGATGAAGCCAAGAAGCTCTGCATCCGCACAATGAAGAACTGCTGGATCTGTCTGTCAGCCATTGACAAATGAATTCTTCACATGTCTCACCGTCCACTTCCCACTGATCACTCTGCACCGCTGAGGTCATGCTGTTAGCGCATGCTAATGCGGGTCAAAACATCACAGTTTGAACGATTTCCCATAAAACCTGACAAAAGAATGTGTTAACGTCACAGTGAATAAAAATGCATGAGGTAGTTGAGGTTGGAACATTTTCGACAATCATTCTTTAATGATAAGTACTCTTTTTCCAGCAGCATTAAAGCAAATTCTAACGGTAAACAGAAACTCAGTCATCAGAAGAGGAAAAACCTTTTGCTCTCTGACTTCCTGTGTCGTTAGGGGTCAGAGGTAATATGAGAACATTGTGGCTCTGGACTTCAAGGGTTTATTGTTTTGCCATCGCCTGTTAGACGTGACCAACTCAACACAACTAAGTGAAGGACGTCGTTCTCTAATGTACTCACTACATATCAAAGTGCTTGCATGTTCAACAACGACGCACCAAAACTGACATTCAGCTTCAATTAGCTCTTTATTTTGTTTATCTTTAATGCTTTTTTATTTTGTTTATTTTTAATGCTCATTTGTTTTACTAATCATTCTTATGTGTATTAATCACAAAATAAAATAATTTTAAAAAACTAATAAAAGGCACATTTATGTTACAAAAGTTCACATTTTGATCGTGTGGAACTGCTTGAACAGTTTGGGAACTGTTAGTAGACACAAACTAAAATGGAAAACACTGTTTACATTCTACAAAGTTCATAATATAAGCCATCTGGGCATTTTCAAACATTATAAAATCACATTTCTTTGACATTATCCATTTGAAGCAGTTTTTAAAAGGGAAATCTCAACACACCCCTGACATCTTTTAGTCCTTGTCCTTTATTAATCGACCAGTGATTTCAAATTAGGAAGGCCTTTCAGTTTGTAGTCAAGCAGCATTTGCCCATAAGCTTTTCCCTGCAGAAACAACACAATTTTAGTAACATGATGTAATTTTTGATGTAACACTATGTTGTGAGGGATTTATATAACTGGTAAATATCTAAATGTTGATTATAATAAAAACTATAATTTAAAAGTTTGGGGTCGATAAAATTTTTTATGTTTTTGTAAGAAGTCTCTTCTGCTCACCAAGGATGCATTTATTTCATTAAAATACAGAGAAACACAGTGAAATATTATTATAATTTCAAATAACCGGTTTCTATTTTAATCTTTTAAAATGTAATTTATTTCAGTGATGGCAAAGCTGAATTTTCAGCATCATTACTCCAGTCTTCAGTGTCACATGATCCTTCAGAAATCATTCTAATATGCTGATTTGGTGCTCAAGAAACATTTCTTATTATTATCAATGTTGAAAACAGTTGTACTGCAGTATTTCTGTGGAAACCGTTACATTTTTCCAAGATTCTTTGATGAATAGAACATTTATTTGAAGAGAAATCTTTTGTAACATTATAAATGTCTTTCCTTATACTTTTGATCAGTTTAATGCATCGTTGTTGAATGAAAGTACTAATTTCTTACAAAAAAGAAACTTATTGACCCCAACCTTTGTACCTTAACATACAGGTTCAGAACGTTGAGGGGTGAGGAAATAATTCTTTAAAGTTGTGAATATCTAGATACCCAAGTAATCTCATACCAAGTGTAAATAGTTTTCTTCCTTAACATAAAAAATCCCCCCCGTAGAGTTTTATGATCATTCTTTAAACTTTCTGTGAAACTTCAGAAAGACCCACAGTCACTGTGTCTATGTACATTTTGCGAGTTTGAATGAATGAATGTGTGCCACACTGTCTGCGTATGTGCGTATTACCTGAGGGTCGCTGCGCAGTGACGCCACCCCTCCCCCTCCAAGTGAGTTTTGAAGAATGAAGTTCAGACCATGAATGCCAGGCAGTTCGTACCTGGAAGTCACCGCAAACATGTGAAATAGATTATTTTAATTGAGATCACCTCCCCATTTTCACACATCTGTGCATTAGCTCACACCTCACTCTCAGGCACCTAGACATGTCGATCCTCAGCAAGAGGTGGTCCTCATTAGCGGCACCAAAGGAGTTTTCCACAACCCATAAAACAAGAGGCTTGCGTGCATGGACTCTCCCTCACACACACATAGGTCTTTAAAAAGCGGTACAGGCTACAGATGTGGAGTAGCTCAATATAAAGGTGTTACAATGTTTATTTTGCGTGACTAACTTCCTTACAGCTTCAGACTTTAACTAGTAATGATTTCCTTAAAAGTAGGTTACTAACAAAGTGTTTAAGGATAACTTATTTTAAAGATTGTCCGTCTTTGCTTTTTGCTTCATCAAACCATTACATGTTAACATCTTTCCCCACTAGACATTGTCTACTAGCACATTTTTTATTTCTTCTTACCGTATGACAGAGGGTAGGTCAGTCTGATCCTTTCTGATCAAATGTTGGAAATACTGTTCCACAACTTCAGCAGTTAAAAACTTTTTCAGGTAGGGGAAATACAGTGGGTGTCTTGCAATAACCCCTAAAAAAAGAAGTTATACATATTCGATTTTTAGATCTATGGATCTACAAATTGGGACACTGGGATGGATGGATTTGACCTATTGACATTTCGGTTCAATTTGAATAGATAGATAGACAGACAGACAGACAGACATGACCTATTGACATTTCAGTTCAATTTAAAATTTCAACAAGTTAACAAATTATGTAAAAAAAATTCTCATGTCTACTCCCAGTCTACTGTGAACAATACATAACCACCCGTCACATCTAAGATGAAGTTAAGACTAGGGCAGGTTGCCACATCACAAGAGAGTGTTGCCTTTTGGGCTGCAGACAGTGAGCTGTGATTTGTGGTTTGTGGTCAGAGAACATGGTCTGACCCAGCATTTTCCCAGCATTTATTGCCAGAATGGCTTTTTTGGTATGACAGTGACACGCAATAAGCAAACTGTCTCACCATTCAAATATTATTCACTGCGTGTGAAAGCACATGGGGAGACACTTACCGATGTTTGAGGAGTCCCCTTTGTCTCCACTGCGCGTGTATGCTAACTCCTCCAGTCTGAAGGTATGCGGGCCAGAGGGCAGATCTGAGAGAGACAATTTTGTTCTCAGCGTAATTAAATTCAGCAGTTGGCAGGTTGAACTAACAGCGAGCATCTGATCCTATTCAAAGCCTATTTTTCTCCCAGTCAACTCACAGATTCCTTGATCTGATTGATAATTTAAATTGGTATAAGCCAGGGGTAGGCAAGTTCGGTCCTAGAGAGCCGCAGTCCTGGAGAGGTCAGCTCTAACCCTAATCAAACACACCTGAACAAGCTAATCAATGTCTTCAGGATTACTAAGGCTATAGGCAGGTGAGTTTTGTTTTCAGGGTTGGAGCTGAACTCTGCAGGACTGCGGCTCTCTAGGACCGAACTTGCCTATCCCTGGTATAAGCAAACAAAAATTAAAAAAATTTGGGGTCAATAAGATTATTATTATTTTTTTTTTTAATTAATACTTTTATTCAGCAAGGATGCATTAAAATGATCAAAAAATGACAGTAAAGACATTAATAGTGTCTAAAAAAAGATTCATATTTAAAATAAATGCTGTTTTGAACTTTCTATACATCAAAGAATCCTGAAAAAAATCATGGTTTCAACAAAAATATTAAGCAGCATATAATCATAAGAAAGAGTAATGGCTGCTGAAATTTCAATTTTGGCATCACAGGAATAAATTACAATTTTAAATAAATATATTAAAATTGAAAACAGTTATTTTAAATTGTGATAATACTTTGAAATGTTGCTGTTTTTACTGTAGTTTTGATCAAATAAATGCAGCCTTGGTGAACACAAGACTTCTCTTTACAAAACATAAAAAAATGGTACTGACCCCAAACTTTGAACAGTAGTGTATGTTTTACAGAAGAATGTAAGTGGCTGCCATGATGCTAGTGTGGTTTATGGTTACCAGGGTTGCAGTTCCTAGGGTGTTTTGAGCAGTTGCTTATTGCCTCAAGTCTAAAAAATAACAAATGCAAAGTCTCTGTCCACAGATATGATTTTTTTAAAACACGTAGCCTTAAAAGAATAGTTCACCCCAAAATTAAAAAAAAATCTATTTACTTACCTTCATGTCATTCCAAATTGGTATGACTTTCTTTCTTCTGTAAAATACATATATTTAAAGTAGAATGTCCAAAATGCTCTTTTCCGTACAATGCAAGTGAATGGAGGCCACAACTGTTAAGCAAGATTTTTCATGAATTACAACAAAATTCTGTCTATTTCTTATACAAAGCTATTTCATGCTTTGAGGAGACGGTACATAAGCTATATAGACTGCTTTATGATGCTTTTGTTAAGTACCTTTAGTGCAGAGAAGAGAGCAGCATGAACATTATTCAAAACATGTCCTTTCATGTTCCACAGAAGAAAGAAAGCCATACAGGTTTGGAACAACATGATAGTGAGTAAATTATTAAATAATTTTCATTTTTGGAGTTCAACACAGCTCATTGTCGGTCTAATTGCTTTATCTGGTTATCATTGGGTAAATCGCATATAATCAGTTTTTCAGTCTCAGAAAAAGCCCCTGGGCTGCAGAAACATTAGAAGCCTCTCTCACAATCAGCCCTCTGTGATGCTCTAATGACCGAGGCTCCAGGTTCTTCTGTCTGTTTGTGTCTGTGCAGATTTGGGAGGGAAGGAACATGAAACAAAGTGAATAGAAAAAGTGCAGAGACTATGTTGCTTTATATTGTGTTCATTTGTATTTAAGACCTCCTGTGTTTGTGTGCATGGCCCTTGCGTATTTGTGAATGAATGCAAGTGTGTGAATGAGAGTCTGCGCCTGCATGTGTTCAAACACTAGATCCAATGAAAGGATGTTCCTGATTATTTAAAGGGTATAGCTGCTTGTTTAGTGCAACTGGGAAGTGGCAGATAGATAAAAAGACTCAAGCAAACACTGCCAGGACACCACAAAGGTTGTCCCTTTCAGAGAACCTAAAGCAAAAGGACTCTGGGAAGAAAAGCAGCCCTGGAATCCGGTGCAAGGGATCTTATAAAACCTTCTCTCGGTAGAACAATCACACTGGCTCTTAAAACAAGGCTTAAGCCTACTTCTTTCAGTTGAGTTTGTTGCTCAAACATTCCATCCACCTCCACCTTGAAGTAGGTCGTATCAAACACTGAACGCTTGTCTCCATGTGAAAAAAAATGTTTTGATACACAATAGCGTCTATCTTTAATAAGATCACATAATGTGCTGATTTGGGAAAATTTAGGGGGAAATAGTGTACAAAGCATGAAAAATGTTCTCTGAGAAAAAGATACAGAGAATAACTCGTCTGTGAAAAGAAAGAAATGCAATACTATCCTTGTCATATTCAGACTCATTTTGAACAAATTACCATAAACTATAAATTCTACAGGATTCGCTGGCTCCAATGTAAATCAATGTGTTTACAAGCAAACCTTTTACTTATTATTGTCATTAAATTCAATATTGTTATGGATATTTAATTGAAAGTGTACTGTATGTCCTTTAGAAGTGGTCTGTTGTTATGGAGCTTGACAGTCAGGGTTGGCACCATTTTTCACTGTGTGGAAAAGAGCAGCTTGGACATTTTGCTAAAAAAAATCCTTTTTGTCATCATATAGGTTTCAATTGTAAGGTGAACAGTTGATGGCTACATTTATCAATATTATGAAATATTATTACAATTTATAATAACTTTTCTATGTTAATATATTTTCAAATGTAATTTATTCCTGCTATGGCAAAGCAGAATTTTCAGCAGTGTCACATGTTCTAATATGCAGATTTGGGGCTCAATAAACATTTACTATTATCATGTTGAAAAGAGTTTTTGCTGCTTTATATACAGTGAAAACCATGATACATTTGATCAGGATTCTCTGTTAAATAGAAAGTTAAAAAAAAAATGACATTATTTCAAATAGAAAGCTTTTGTAACATTATGTCTATTCTGTCACCTTTTTAAAATTTCTTTTAAAAAAATACCCCTAATTTTGAAGTAGTACGTATAAAATAGTGTAAGTTTCATATTTATGTGAACTATTCCATGAACACTTCACATTTCACAATCAGCAGGGTACCTGTGGGTGCTTGGCCATGTTCCTCTGAATGGAGGAAGGGGTCGTGTCCTTCAGTTAATGAAGGGTCTGATACTGCCTCTCTGTGTGTCTCCACAAACTCCCCATTCACATAAATGTGCACCTGAAATCCCCAATTAATATTCATTCATTCACTCAATCATCCATATGTATAATTCAAATGATCCATTTCCATATTCTGTCCAATACACCTTTTATATTAATAAACGTTTTGATTTTGTTGAATACAATGATGAAATTTGATAAAGCATGAATTCAGGATAATCAGGCCACTTTTTTCCCATTTATCTTAACAAGAAATCTAAGCCAGTTTACACGATTTCACCATATGCTATGGTCCTGTATTTCAATATTCAAAATATGCAATATGGTATTTAAGTGATTCTCCAAAGGAATATAACAGTATTATTAGCATGTTACATTTTAAACAAAAATATTAAATAAATAAATAAAAACAAATAAGCCAATAAATAAACATGGTATTATCATGGAAGTCATAAAAAAATAATGTCACTACCTCCAAATCTGCTTTGGGATGCAGGAAAAAGAAAGGCTTCAGCACTGGTGATCTAGAAAAAGAAAACAGACATTAAATAATACACATGCAACATTTGGCGGGATACTTTTACGTGAAGTTCTAAACAGTTTTTTTGTACTTAAAGAACTACTTTCTAATACTTACATTCTTGGTCGCCCTCCTACAATAGCTGTGAGTCCTGGAGCTGAAGAGAGAAAATAAATTACATATTGGCCTAATTTGAACAAATGTTCTTTGACTTTAAAGGGATAGTTCACCCAAATATGAAAATTACCCCATGATTTACTCACCCTCAAGCCATCCTAGGTGTATATGACTTTCTTCTTTCTGACGAATACAATCAGAGTTATGTTAAAAAATGTCTGGGCTCTTCCAAGCTTTATAATGGCAGTGAATGGTGGTCAAGATTTTGAAGCAAAATAAAGTGCATCCATCCATCATAAAAGTACTCCACATGGCTCTGGATGGTTAATAAAGGCCCTCTGAAGTTTTAAATATGGATATTTATGGATTCTTGCATTCTTACAAAAATGAATCCATTCTCTTCAGAAGGCCTTCAATTAACACCCTGGAGCCATGTGGAGTACTTTTATGATGGATTGATGCACTTTATTTTACTTTAAAATCTTGACCACCATTCACTGCCATTATAAAGCTTGGAAGAGCAAGGACATTTTTAAATATTATTCCGATTGTATTTGTCTGAAGGAAAAAAATCATATACAACTAGGATGGCTTGATGGTGAATAAATCATGGGGTAATTTTCATTTTTGGGTAAACTATCCCTTTAAATGAACAGTGACCTTAACTAATGTGATTTGGAAACAAGGCAGGATAAAACTGAGATGAGGTTTTTACTCACCCATGCCTGTACCCGCTGGTGCCACCTCTCTGGAGAAAAACTCTAATGCTTTCTTCTGCTTGTGATGGACAGCCATCCAAACCACAGCCTCACGAGGACTCTGCACAATAAAGAGCAGCCTTCAAAAGCTGTAGGTTATTTGTTCTAATTGTAAACTGACAGTTTACCAATTGCTACACAATTCATAGTTTTCACGTGACGTCACACCCTTACAGGAACGCCCACATGGAGGGCAAAACAAGGCTTTCCTCCGCTGACCGCCAGTTATTTTTTTATTAAGTAGTATTGTAGTAAGAGAGTGATATTTAAAGGCCGAATTCAGTATACACCTTATTGATGATGCATACTTTGTACAGGCAAGCAGATGAACCCAGAATATAAACGCAATGCGCAAAGTTTAATATTAAATATTTTCCCATAGAAAACCATTATAAAGAAAACACTTAACCATTTAGTACATTGCGTTCATATTCCGGGCTCATTTGCTTGCCTGTGTAGAGCATGCATCATCATTAAGGTGTGTACTGAATTTGATCTTTTAGTATCACTGTTTTAAAGGCACTTTAAGTGTTTTCCCATTAAACGTTTAAGAATGTACCGCTGTTTTTAGTGATTTAAATATTGTGGCGGTGCTTCATATCGATTGCTAATGGCCAAAACTTGCATTTTGTTCACATATCTTTGTTTTATACTTTTTAGAGGTGATCTAAATATTTTTGGATTGGAACAGATAGAAAATTGACAGGCTTGTGCTGCAGTTCTATGGCTGTTTTGTCCGCCAGGTCTTCAAATTTTTTACATAAAACAGAAACAGACAGCCTACTGTATTGACGGCATGTGGTCCATATGTGTCCTCAGCTCCCAGAACTTGAATGTTGACTTCAGCATAGTCCTCCCAACCCAGCTGTTTGAAAATGTGCTGGGTCCTACAGATATTTCATGGTGCATTTTCACAATACAGCACTACAGTTCATTTCCTGCAATGTCATTAGTCATTAAAGCTCTAGTGGGGTTTAATACACTTTATAAACACTGTATTTAACTAACTTTATTTAGGATATTTAATCTTAGCTGTCTTAATCAACCTTATACCAACTTGTATTGCTGATTACGATAGCAAAAACTAGTTTTTTTAAAACAATAAATTACATATCAAGTATTTGACCTATACAATCACTCAGAATAAACGATTAACCTTTTGATAATGCTCTCTGCTGTTCTTCTGGCTTTTTCTACAGCTCTCGGACCACCAACAGGACAAACCGCCGTCGCCCTGAACCCATCCATATATGTGGCACAAACCTATAGAGGACAAAATATAAAACATAACCATTTTTTTAAAAGAAGTTAAACTTAAACGGAAATGACTGATTTAAACCAACCAAACCAGAAATGGTGACCAACCTTGTAGTCACCTGATGGCGGTGATCCTTTGGCACCACCTACTTTCACTGCTCCACCATCCACATCTACACACATATAAAGCCCAGTCAGATAATTTGTGAGGTATCAGATTTGCCCTGGAGTTTTGAATGTTCAGCAGTTTTTCTTCAAATCAAATCAAGTTAGTGTACATACATTAGCTTATTGATTACACAGACAATGAGATGGAAGTTTAGGGGACAAAGAAAATATTTGTTTTGTGACCAAGAAAATAAAATTAGTTAAATGAAAGAGGTTGCAAAGGTTATAGCAGATAGATGGAACCGGCTTTTAGGTAGCCTGTCTAGATACTGGTGTAAAGTCAATGGCCTGCGTCTTTGAGTAAGACATTTAGAGATAATAAACAAGCAACCATCTGATCACTGCATGAGGACTTTTTACTGGAGATAAGTACTGTCATCAGCCAGCTTCAGCTTCTGTTTGCTTAAAGTTATCTATCCACAATTTTGAAGATATTACTACTATATCTATAAATATGCCACTGCATGAATATTATAAACAATCATGCATGTACAATCCAGTAAAGTTGACTGACCTGGTATCTCAGTAATGGTGACATTGGAAAAGTCACATGTGACATCAGGCAGGAGGTAACGCTGTGGGTCTCCAATCTCATACACTAACTGCTCTGCCACTGTACCAAATGAAACCAGCCCACCGGTTTTTGGAGGTTTGGACAGTGTAAATGAGCCATCAACAGAACATTCTACCACCGGGAAGCCCATGTTATCCCTGAAAATGAAAAGAATGAAGGTGAGAATGCACATATATCAAATACTTCCCACTGTCATTATATTCAGTATATGAAGTATGTTTATTTGAAGTCATTGAAGTTAAAGTTACAGTAAAAGAAAAGAAGTGATCTCAAGGATAAAAGACATATGAAGTGTCAAGGAGTCAAGAACATGTCTGTGTCATATTTCACTCCCAAAACTGAAATCAAAAGGAATTAAGAAATTGTATTTTGCTTAAAGAGAATGAAGCCTTTTTTCAGGACCATTAGGATTTTTGTGAACACATTTGACACATTTTCATGAAAATTAAGCACATCCTCCCCAACAATTCTCATTACCTGAATAAAGCTGCACAATTGTTTTTTAGCATAGATGATAATGGAAATGTTTCTTGTGCAACAAATTAGCATATTAAAATGATTTCTTAAAGATCATGTGACTCTGAAGGCTGGAGTAATGGTTGCTGAAAATTCAACTTTGCCATCACAGAAATTGTAAAATATATTAAAATAAAAAGCTATTTTAAATTGTAATAATATTTCATAATATTACAGTTTTTTATTGAAGATTATTTCAAATTATTATTAATTATTATTATTATAAAGTATTTAAAAAAAATTTATATAAATTTTTTTTGATTGACATATGTGTGTATATATTACTAATATTTTTATGCATTACAATAATGAGAATTTAATGCAACTGTAAACAGGTATAAAAAACATAAAAATAAAACATCAATGAAACATCAAAACAAATTACTGTAATGAGAAAATGTGCTTAACTGTCATGAAATTGTCACAATGCATTTTTTGTCTTTTGATTTTGAGGTGAAATGTACCATGAATATATCAGATTTGAGTGCTTACCAGTCAGGAACTGTGTGCCAGTCTGTGAAAATTCCTCCTGTGGCCTGTGCACCACACTCAATCAGATGACCAGCAAGGCTACAACAGAGAAAAAAATTATAATTTCTCATGAAATTTCACAGCAACCAAAATCAGACTTGAATTTGAAACCCAACTTGAACAATAACATATGTGGTTAACCACAAATAATCTTACACTGAATGATCCTTCACACCACGCAACAAAAACAAATAAATCATGTGTAGCCGTCTGCCCTTATGTTCACCTAAGTGTAGTATAGTGTACATTTTTGTCCTGTGTCTGCTGATATGTGTTTTCAGCAGTCTGATACATTGCACCAGCGTGTGTGTGTGTGTGTGTGTGTGTGGATGCATACATTTCCAGAGCTCATAGAGTTTACAGTACCTTCCAGCAGCCAACAAGTCATAGTTATTGCAGTCCCATGCAAACTGTCAAAACAAACAAACAAACAAAGAGCTATAATACTCTTTTTTCCACACTGAATAAAGTTATATAAATCATTTATACATTCATAAGAGTTCTATTTTCAAAGAATTTAAAATGAATATATAATATATACATTTTTTATATATTTGTAAAAAACATTTTCATATATAACAGATATTTTTTCATGTTTTTTTTCATGTTTTTTGATATATATATGCATACACATACATATCAAATATAATTGTGTATATATAATGAGAATCTAATGCAACTGAGAATGAAAAATATTAGTGAAACATTAAAATTACTGTAATCAGAATTTATATAGAAAATGCGCTATATAAATGATTTAAAAAGAGACCGATTTTAAATACAATAAATTTAAAATAAAGATAAATAAAGTCAAGAAATTGTGAATGACAAATACGTACAGAAATACTGTTAAAAACCACCGCAACAATAAGCAGTTTAAAAAGAAAACGGAGGAAGCTGGTTTGAATTTGAATGTGAATTTTTTCTTGAATTAAGCCTCAAACTCTCCCTTTAGAAGTAAATTTGGCACTTTCTTAAAAGACACACTGCTGGTGTGATACTTGTTTCTGTTTTTGTTTTGTGCTGATGAAGGAAGTTAAAATTACCAACACATCGTCACAGAGGAAGAATGAGACACAACAACTGTTGCACAAAAAACCTGAAGGATGTTCTTGCGTGACAAACCATACCGAATGCATCAGCGGTCCAAGAACCACAGCGCTGTCCACGCAGCGTCCCGTCACTACAATATCAGCCCCGAGGTCCAGGCACCGTTTAATAGGGAGGGCGCTGTGAGATACAGACACAAGAAAGCTGAATCTCATATGTGCAAACCACCAGTCCGGCTCCAGACACAAATAACAGACAAGACCAATGACACACTGTAATTAACTTGTAGTTCATACCCCAAATATGCATTCATGCTGTGGACGGTTTTTGGAAGCGGTTTCTTTCCCTCGGAATCAGCCATCCGGAGTTCAGTCAAAGAGTCTTTCTAGGATAAACAACAAACCAGAAGATCACAGGGAGGATTTCAACACTGTCTGAACATTTCTCTATAATATTATGTAATATAATGAGTGATATAGCTATATACTAATCACTACTACTATCACTCATACTTAGTCTAGGAATTTGAACAAACCCCTGAGAATTATTGCAAAAAGTAGAATTAAAGTATTAACTATACACTACTTGCCAAGCTGAATTTTCAGCATCATTACTCCAGTCTTTAGTATCACATGATGCTTCAGAAATCATTCTAATATGATGATTTGCTGCTCAGGAAACATATTCTCGTGGAAACTGTAATACATTTTTTCCCAGGATTTTTCGACAAATAGAAAGTTCGAAAGAACAGCATTTATTTGAAAGAGAAATCTTTTGTGACATTATAAATGTTGTTACTGTCAATTTTAATCAGTTTACGGTAGAATAAGTATTATAGTATTTACATTTTGTAAAACTCTAGACACTAAATATGCCCATAAATATTATAATTAGTCAAGGTGTGCTGAATACTAGATGCTAAGACAATAAACATTCTCTCTCTTAAAGCTTTGAATTTTTTTTGTTTGTTGTGCTGCATGATATCGCTGTCTGATATGATTTTCATCTTGGACTATACTGACACCTAGAGGTGTGGCTGTAGCATCATGCAAACGCAAAACTTTCATTCTGCTAATGCTATTCTCAACTGTGGTATTTGCAGTCATCAATGATTATCTTATTAAGTGCAAGTGTCCAATAACAGGGTGGTTACTGAGATAAAATGAGTAGTATTCACCTGGTCATGTGATGTCAACATGTCAGCTCGCATGAGATGAATTACAAAAGCATAAATGGAGCTCAATTACCTGATGCATCAGCTCATCACCAGTAACCACAGCTACCTTCAAGTCAAGCCCCGCCTTTTGAACTACTTCCTGTAGAGCTGCTCCACAGGCAAGAGGATTGACACCGCCAGCGTTACTGACCACACGAATACCTGCAGGACACAACGAAGTATAACACCAAAAACATCTTTAATGTGTCTGAAATGACTAAAGATGAACATTATCCATGATATTTAAAAAAAAAAAAAAAGTAAGTATTTACATAAAATGTTTCCAAATATACCTAAACTGCTTAGATGAACATTATCAATGGAACTAAAAATGCAAAATCTCAAAAGTATCTTCATAAAATATTCGAATGAAAAATGTATTATTTTTGTGTAATTATATAATATAATATACTGTTATATGATATTAAGAACATAAAACAACCTAGATAAACATTAATTAACCTCAATAAAACGTGTCTGCATAAAAGTCACATTCTTATCATAATTTTACCTTTTTTGCTGATATCCTTAATAAATGGAGAAAGGGAAAGGACAAAATCAGGAGCGTATCCCATATTCTAAAAGAAAAGAGCATTGTTAGAGTCAACCCAAGTGTGTATTATAATAAACAAAAGTAAAAAAAAATAAAAATAGGAATAAATATTAATGAATCACCCTGAATTTATCATCATAAACAACAAGAGCAGTTTTATGAGTGATATCAGGTATAAATAACCCGTAAATGTAAATTGTAGGATGGAGGAATAACTTACAGGTGCTTTAGCTTTGGCTGCTGAAAGCAGTGACATGGTGATTTCAGACAGATAATCAAACACAAGGAAGTCCAATTTCCCACCATATATGAGCTGAGGAACTGCATGGAAGAGATTTGGTAAGGTTTGATGGTTCTTTTTACACAGCTTCATCAAGACATACTAGCCCAAAGAGTTGGACACGCAAGCCACACAATGTACGAATGACTTAAAAAAAGATCAAATCAAATGGCATTTATTGTTGAGGAATATACCATTGGTATACTTTCCCCTAGCATTTTTTTTTCTCACAAAATAGCTTTTTAGCTTAAAATGATCAAACAGAAATGCTTGGACACTTTGTGGTTGTTAAACTTTAGTTGAGCATCTTTTATGAGCAGCCACTAACATGAGCTTGAGAGCAGTTGGAAGAAAATGTCGAATATAATTTGTTTTCAGATACACACTTATTTCGATGTATTTTATCGAATGCAGTAATATTCACACAACAAATGTGGTTTAAGAGTTTGAATCTTTTTGGCGTCAGGAAGGTTAGAAATGGAGAAAAGGCGTGATATTATTGCTTTGGTGACATCTAGTGGTCATACACGGAACTACACATGGAGAGGATTAGTTCGCTTGTTCTGTGTAATTCCGTCCTTGTGAAGAACTATTGTGCAGAGCGATACATAACTTATAATCAATGTTAAATCATATAAAGCAGGGGTGCCCAAACTCGTTCCTGGAGAGCTGGTGTCCTGCAGAGTTTAGCTCCAGCTTGCCTCAACACACCTGACTGGAAGTTTCTAGTATGCCTAGTAAGAGCTTGATTAGCTGCTTCAGGTGTGTTTGGTTAGGGTTGGAGCTAAACTCTGCAGGACACCGGTGTTCCTGCGAATTCAGTTCCCCTGTTTCCCCCTCACAGCGCCTGCGCAACTTCGCAGTGTTGCCAAGTCCGCGGTTTTCCAGCGGTAGTTTTTAGCCGCAATTGGGCGTTTCTTTTTTAAATATCCTGGCAACCCTGAAACTTCAGAACTAAAATCATGACTTCATGATTTCGCCCGGGCTAAGCAAGTCAGCTTATGGTGGTTTTGCTGTCTTTCTGCAAGTAACGTTTATTTCACCGTGTTAATTAGATAATTTGTAATTAAATAGGTATTCATGTACATGACGTCCTGTTCAATCGCAACATAGAGTCAGATTTCCTGCTAATTCTAACTTTTTCCTGTTTTATGAAGTGTAACACCATACATTACAATTAGACAGTTCAATTCCTTCGTTAGGGGCATTCTTTTGTTCAGACGCCCATTTCCATTTGATTGTTATTGTTATTGTTAGTGTGTGTGTGTTTCTGTTAAACAACTTAAGCCTTGTCGAAATAACAACAAATAAACGATATTGCAACTACCGCTGGAAAACCGCGGACTTGGCAACACTGCGAAGTTGCGCAGGCGCTGTGAGGGGGAAACAGGGGAACTGAATTCGCCGGAACACCGGCCCTCCAGGGCCGAATTTGGGCACCCCTGATATAAAGTAAAGTAATTTTATTCAAATACCTGAGGTTGCAGTATCGCCCCAAAACCCCGATGCGCATCCGATGCGTGTTTTATGCGCTGATGAGGCGTAATGTCTGTGACTGCTTCGGTGACGCGAGTCGCTTGTAAAACATCTGACAGTTTTGAACACAGTCACCTGTACAGAGCACATTCAGGGCTTTTCAGAGATCCACTAAATTTTTGGATGTTTCACCATGACCACTCCCTCTCCTTGGTCTTCAAAAATGTCTGATATTAATTTAGTGGCACTCTTATGGAAATATGATAATATTTTGTAATTGTCATTTAAATCGGACTCATTTTGAAACTGTGTGTCATAACTCAACATCTCAGGAAAATGTTATGGGGTTTCAAATCAAAATATGACTTTCTGTTACGAAACAGGACGATGATTTCATGCATGTCCTTATATGAAGACACCGGGACTAAAAGCATGTTTATTACGCATTTTGGGAGACATATATTTGTATATATTTGAAAATATATTTAAATATTCCTATGAAATATATATTATTATGAAAATCTTGTCAATTATTACTCTGAATATTACACTTCTTTTTTCATTACATGTTGCCCCAGAAACACATTAATATGCTAATAACACATTAATAAACTAATAATTTAGTTTATAGATACATTATATAGAATGAGAAAACCTGTTTGTGGCCATTTTACACACATTTTGCATGAAGAAAAATAATATATCAAATCATTCTGTTATAACATAGTTGAGAATGATCTTTATACAAAGTTTGGTAAAAAAAAATCCTGAAAACTAAAAATGTATTGTTGATTTGAAAAAAAATCTATTGTTTTTGCCTATGCATGTTCTTTCATGTTTTTTCTTCTTTTGTTTTAAGAAACTGAGTCCCGATGTCCTCTACCAAGGATGTAGCATAACTTATGAATGAAATATAAATTTTTAAAAAATTTTGTTTACATTTTTTTTAATGCTCTAAACCAGGGGTGCCCTAACTCGGTCCTGGAGGGCTGGTGTCCTGCAGAGTTTAGCTCCAACTTGCCTCAACACACCTGCTGGTAAGTTTCTAGTATGCCTGTAAGTGCTTGATTAGCTGGTTCAGGTGTGTTTAATTGGGGTTGGAGCTAAACTCTGCAGGACACCGGCCCTCCAGAACCGAGTTTGGGCACCCCTGCAACAATGTAATGACATCAAAAAATACAATTTTTTTCCTAAAATGTTTTGCCGGGTCTTAAGAGGCTATAGTAGACCTAAGTATATTGTAAATGTACACAACACTTAGTGAAGAAGAACAACAGTGCTGCTGAGCTTTCTTTCATTAACAGAAGAGATGTGATCTGTATTGTGCAATGAGAGTTAAGCCCACATCCAAACAACTCAAAACAAACATTGGTTGTGTAACTGAAAAGGACAGTCCTAGAAATGATCCTCGCACAAACTCCCACCTGTGCATCCTACTTGCAAAGTGTTGATTCATGATTTGAACGTTCATGATGATTCATCCTGTTTGCAAAAATGCAATGTAATGAAATTTGTAGAATCAGTCAGCAATGATTTATTCACAACCTTATAATTATATACACATGGGCACATTTGGAGTATCTTATGGTCACCAAAGCTACATTTAATTATTTAAAAACAGCAATATTATGAAATATTTGTACAATTAAAAATAGCTGTTTTCTATTTTCATGTATTTTAAAAAGTAATTTATTCATGGGATGGCAAAGCTGAATTTTTAGCAGCCCTTGCTCCAGCCTTCAGTGTCACATGATCCTTCAGAAATAATTTTAATATGCTGATTTGGTGCTCAAGAAACATTTCCTATTATTATACATTTTTAAAACCATTGTGCTGCTGAATATCTGTGTGTAAACCTTGATACATTCTATTCATCAGCATTTTTTGATGAATAGAAAGTTCAAAAGAACATCATTTATTTACATATATTATTTTACTGTTACATCTGATCAGTTTAATGCACCCTTGCTGAATAGAAGTATTAGTTTCTTTCAAACAACACAAAAATCTTTCTTCAACCCCATAAACTCCCCAAATATATATATTTTTTCAATGATACAGTAATGAGCTATGAAAATATATTCCACTAATGCACTCTTAGCACCCTAAGGAAAGTCAAATCTCACACTGCAGTGCCAGTTCTTGTACAAGCACCATGCGCTGTCATTCCTGTAAACCAGTTGATAACGGTTGAAAGTTGTGTAATTTGCATCTCTCTCTCTCCATCTCTGTTTCTCTGTCCAAACACTGTACTGTGTTCCAGACTGCGGGGGCTGGGGACTGAGTGACCATGGTCAATAATGAGTCAATCTGTTGATCAATCAGAAGGGTTCATATGGGATGTGCAAGCAGTGAGAGTCTGTATTCTGCACAGAGAAGCCAGAGATGAAGCTCACACATTCGCTCCTCTGCCTGTTCGTGTTCGTGTCCTCTGCCTTGGTGAGTGATTTCTTCACGCATTTAGTCTCTTATCACTAATCACTAACAAACAATCAATACATTTCCTTTATTCAATCTTTATTTGAACCTATTTGAATTCTTAAATTATGACCTCTAATTAAGTATTTATTTTATTTTTCAGTCAGAGGACACAGTCGTGAACCCTAGAGGTGCTCGTCCTATTGAACACGGCTACAAGGCACAAGACACCTGTAAGACAAACGAATGGCCTTTGTGTACAGATGATGACTGGGTATGTACTAGTATTTAATTATTATTTAAGTCATAAATATCAAGTCAAGGTTTCATTAAGGACTGAAAATGTAATGCCCACCAGGAAGTTGGCTAAAGATAGCAAACACCCATTTAAATTCTTCAGGGAACCAAATGTCCATCCGGCTGCCGAATTCAAGGCCTCATAGACAAAGCTGACCATGATATCATCAAGAAGATTGATAAGATTCGTCGTCTCCTGAACGAGGGCCAGAAACTGTATCGCTCCACTGATCAAGTGTCCAAAAACACTTATACTTACCTAAGAGAGCGACTGACCTCTAGCGCCGGTAAGAATTTGTTTCGATTCCGTCCTTGATTTTTGGAAATTTTGATCATTCATGCCAAAGATAAAGTTGATTTGTGGAAGTTCACAGAAGTATTTTCAGAAGACACTATAGAAAATATTTCCTCCTTCCTCTTAGGTAATGATAACAGGTACAGCACCTTGGCTGAACAGTTGAGACAGAGGATTACTGATATCAAGATTAAAATTGACCGTCAGCTTCGGTTACTGGACGCTCTGAAGTCGCAGGTCAAAGATCAAGTTGTTGTAATTCAGCGACTTGAGGTGAGCAAAATATTAAAAAGTGCCTTTTATTGTCTAATATTGTATTTTATGAGAAATATATGGAAGCCCTTTGAGAAAAAGAAAGTTTAAAATAATTATATAAATCACAATTATGAAAAATAAAGTAACAATTACCTTTTATTTAAAATGATTTACTCTGGAAAAAAATTCTGGAGTTGGAAACATGTTTCCATGGAAAGTGACATCTTTGTACTTACACCAAATATGGCAACAAAAATGGCATAATATGAAATAGCATAAATATGAAAAATATGAATTGTCACTCTTGTTATTTGTATTTTTAATGAAATATTTATTATTTTTTTTTATAAATGTGTATTATTTATTTCATAAATATTTATTTATTTCTCTCTTCACTGATTTCTTGACATTCTCCCAATATTATCTCTTGGCGCAGGTGGACATTGACATCAAACTACGCACATGCAAGGGCTCTTGCGCCAGCTACAGTGAGTTCTCGGTGGACAGGGAGAGCTATGTGGCTCTGGAGAAGCAAATGGACAATCTGAATGCTTTGCGTGTACAGAGCGTGGAGACCGTCAGTTCCCTGGGAATCATGAAAAGCAGGCCGTTGAAAGACGTGGTTTTACCATCCATATATAAGAGTGGAACGGGCAAAGCTGAGCAGAAGCAGCTCCTCTTCGGAGACGTGGGTCAGATGCAGCTTACTCTGGAGGCGGAAGGTTCCACTGCCAAATCTGCCGCCACTGTTAGCAAGTTCCCCACATCAGGTATGGGCTCAACTTCCTCCTCTTCATCACATACCTCCTCCTCCACCTCCACCATCAAGCAGTGCACCAAGTCACTGCGCAAAGTGATAACGCACACCAAAGAAGGGCCCGTGGAGAAGATTGAGGTTTCGGCAAGTGGGCCCGGGTGTGAAGATTTAGGAAAACTTGGTGGAGATGAAAAGTCCATCACTACTCTCTCTCATGGCACCGATGACCTAGGTGGCTTCGGTGGAGGTTTCTTCACGGGGCTTGGCACTGATACCCAAAGATTATCCTCATCCTCAACCTCCTCGAAAACAGTTGTGTCAGATGGAAGCAAAAGTTACTCAAAGACCACCCTCTCTAGCGACCCAAATTTTGGGGATGACTTTGGTGCTTTCATGCGTGGCGACGTGGAAGAAGATCTACCCGACATCCACGCACGAAGTGTGAAATCACGCGACGAGCGCAAGGCTGCCTTTGTTGGTGGAGGTACACTTGAATGAAACTCTTAACTCAAGCAGCATACACAAGTGAACCATTAGCAAAAGTAATTCTCTTGATAACTCAAGCAAGAGTTTGTTTAGAGCTTCTTGGAAACATGTGGTGTGGTGTAATGGACCAAACTAATATCCAAGTAATTACAAATAACATGTCACATTTAATTGCACTCAAATGCTCATCTAGAAATAATTATGCAGAACAACGTAATTAGGTCCGAAATGATTTATTTGGATCTCTGGAACGAATGCAGCTCTGCCCTAATCAGCAGGTGTGTAATCTTCTTTCAGATTGCGCTGAAATCCTGCAGAAGCATGCGAATGGCGGTCAGAGCGGCCTGTTCAAAATAAAGCTGGCCGGGTTGGAAGAGGTAGAGGTTTACTGTGACCAGGGCACTGGATTGGGGGGCTGGACTCTGGTTCAGCAGAGAGAGGATGGGTCTGTTAACTTCAATCGCACTTGGAAGGAGTATCAAAATGGTTTTGGCCGGTTAGACCAGCAGGGTAAGGGTGAGATCTGGATCGGCAACAAATTTCTACACCTTCTCACTCAGAAAGAGAGTCTTCTGAGACTGGAGCTGCAGGACTGGGATGGGAATGAGGCCTACGCCGAGTACAATTTTAGAGTTGGCTCGGAGGCCGAGGGCTTTCCGCTGACCGTGTCAGATTACGTGGGTGATGCAGGTGATGCGTTAGTGCAAGGGCAGCCTAACCTCGGATCCTTCCTTTCACACGCTGGCATGAAGTTTAGCACCTTTGATAGGGACAGTGATAAGTGGGAGGAGAACTGTGCGGTAATGTACGGTGGAGGGTGGTGGTACAATAACTGCCAGTCAGCCAACCTTAATGGGATTTACTATAAAGGAGGCCAGTACGACCCCGGCACCACAGTCCCTCATGAGATTGAGAATGGTGTTGTGTGGCTGCCTTTCAAACCAGCTGATTACTCCCTAAAAGTAGTGAGAATGAAGGTCAGACCTGTCTAAACAGTGAAACAGAGGTGATGGGGGGGAAAAGAAAGATACCCATTGTTTTGAATGATCAGTTTTATCTATATATGTAATGTTGCCATTTTCACACAACCATCTTACCTCATGTTTCCAATAAAAATGTGTTCACTTTAAATTTTGCAGTGTGTGTTTTTATTTCAAAGTATCTGCTTTGAGAATAATTTTCTATAAATATATACCCTACAATGAATTCACAACCACGAAAAAGCACAATGTACTTTTATATACTCAGATCATTTTGATTTCTTAAAATTTTCAATAAATAAAGCTTAATTTAGTCTGAATTTTTTTTTTCAAAAATTTTTACCTTCAAAGGTACAAGTTACTGGGGCAGCCCCCCCCCCCCCCCTTTTTTTTACCCCCAAAAAGGTTCATAGTTGTACCTTCAGAGTAAGGCTAAGGTACTAATATGCGCCTTTAGGGTAAATAAGGTAAAAGGTTGTCCCAGTGGCATTTTCTGACAGTGTATCCTAAAGATCATAATATCATTTTGACCACTAATGATTAAAAAAGGCATTTACCAACCACACTCTCAGAAAAAAAGGTACAAAAGTTGTCACTTGGGCGGTACCTTTTCAAAAGGCACACCTTTGTACCTAAAGAGTCCATATTGGTACCATAAAGGTACATATTAGTACCTAAAGTGTACATATTAGTACCAAAAGTGTACCTTTTGAAAAGGTACCACTCCAGTGATAGCTTTTGTCATTCATATATTCTGCTTAAAATAATCCCATAGACATGCTCTACTGGTTTAGATAAACCGATAGCTGATTTCACATCAAGGTTGTAAAACAAACAATGAGCTTACAACATTACCACCATTACAATTGTATGATATGGCCCTGTTAATATGTATGCAATTTTCAACATCAGCCATGATCACTCATCTACGAAGCATAAACATTATTAGGTTTAATGCAAGTGTGTGGTTTGTTGCAGTGTGTACGGTCTTGAAATCCAGTCTTAAACAACAGAATCACTATGGTTTAACCAGATTTTGACAGTGTCCAGCACGGCCAACACACCCTTTGTGGGTGAGTTATTTCGGAGAATCTGATCACTTGTCTTCCAAAAAGTGTTTTTTAAATTAATTAATAATTAAATTACTAATAAAAATTACAGTCACTGATAAATATTATTAAATATTTTATAATAAAAGGTAAAGAAAAGTTTTTGCACAGGAAAATAAACAAATGATTAATCTTATTCTACAGTTTTTTTATGTTTTTTTTTTTGTAGGACAATAAATGTCCATCTGGGTGTCAGCTGGAGGGCCTTATTTATCTTGCAGATGAAGACATTCAGAAACGTCTGAGAAATATTTGTGAAAGGGTTCAACAAAATCAGAATGTCACTTCATCAGTAATGCAAAAGATTGTCCAGTTTTATGGGTCACAAAGAAAAGCTATCATCCAGACATATAGTATGTTAAATATTACGTTCTTTATTTTATGTGCTTTTATATCTAATTCTCAAATCAAGGGTTTTATAAACAAGGTAAAAATGAAAAGATACCTGAAGCATCTTAGATTTAGAACGATCAGAAGAACCTCTAGACATCCTTTTGAAGGTGCTTTAGATTCAGCTTCAACATATACGTAACCTCATATCTTTTCCCTTATGATGAGGTTACTGGAGGAATCATTGACTGGAACTTGTAGCTTATCTTGTTTCTCAGAGAACCTTTTTGAAAGGGTTCTGAGTGGTTCTCCGGAGGGTTCCACCAGTGTGGTGAACAGTTATGTTATTTACAATATTCATTTCAAGAACATAAATTTACCTTCAGAAATTACTTATTATTTTACCTTACAAAAATCTTATTAATATTCAATTTTAGTATTTAATAGGAGCAAAAGGCTTTATAGACCTACATAAACGACTTAAGGGTGTCCTCATGGTATTTTCTCTGTGCAGTGCAGGAGCTCAGATATGCTGAGTTTGCTGAAGCCCTTCACAGAATGTAACAGTCCTGCACAAGCGGTCTACAGAACTTGCAAAAGACTTACAGAAGCACCATCACTTGATCTGGGATCAGATAAATGAAATCCGTCAAATTGAGGTAAGACGTGCCAAAATACTTTATATTAGTGGTTCTCAACCTTCTTCAAAATCAATATTTGAAGGTCCCCCTTCATAGCATGAATAAATATCTCTAAGGGGTAAAAAAAAAAAAGAAAGAAGGCATTTTGCTGTATCATGGGAAGTTAACCTCATATCTTTTCCCTTATGATGAGGTTACTGGAGGAATCATTGACTGGAACTTATTAATATTCAATTTTAGTGTTTAATAGGAGCAAAAGGCTTTATAGACCTACATAAACGACTTAAGGGTGGCCTCATGGTATTTTCTCTGTGCAGTGCAGGAGCTCAGATATGCTGAGTTTGCTGAAGCCCTTCACAGAATGTAACAGTCCTGCACAAGCGGTCTACAGAACTTGCAAAAGACTTACAGAAGCACCATCACTTGATCCGGGATCAGATAAATGAAATCCGTCAAATTGAGGTAAGACGTGCCAAAATACTTTATATTAGTGGTTCTCAACCTTCTTCAAAATCAATATTTGAAGGTCCCCCTTCATAGCATGAATAAATATCTCTAAGGGGTAAAAAAAAAAAAGAAAGAAGGCATTTTGCTGTATCATGGGAAGTTTATTAAAACCCCTTGGTTGAGAACCACTGCAGTTTATTTTATTGACTGGAAAGTCAGTAAATTCAGGCTCACATAATCAGTATATTTGATCAAATGTTCTGCATAAACGTTTGAGTAAGGGATTTCACTATTTGCTTGAAGTTGAAATGTAACTTTTGTCCTGATTCAAACTTGTTTTTGTTCAATTTTTGAAGTGAAGGTGGACATTGACATCAAAGGATCATACAAGCAAACCTTTGACCATGCCGTTGATAACGAAGCCTTCAAAGCTATGGAGAACAAAATGGAGGAGTTCAGCATTATCTCAAAGAGGCAAAAATCATTCTCCAAAAACAACAAACTAAACTTCAGTCTGTTGATCGGCCCAGTCTGTCCCCCTCTTACTGGAAAAATTCCCATTGTTCGCACTGAGCTGCTTACAAAGTTTGAAGACATTGAGCAGCATCAGGTGGTTTTAGATGAACTCCTGGAAGATATTTAATCAGATTTATATCTAGATTAGTAATATGGGTTATTATTGTTATCTGACACTGTGTTTGGTTTAGTAGCATATGAGTAGTTTATTGAAAAATACTGCCCTTATTTCTTGTGGCTTATTTGTTATCTATTTACTACATATTTATTTAAAGACCACTGTGTGCAAAATCACGTTTACAGTTTCACCTTCTTTTTTTACTGTATACATCTAACTTATGTCCAGTATTCCAGGTTGTAACAAGTTTGTAGATCGGGAAGCAGGAGGCGGGAACCGGTGAACACTCAAAGAACTCTTTAATAAAATAAACAAACACAAAACAGCGCGACAGCCCCTCGCGGACGACTGTCGCGCACAAACAAAACCAAAACACAAAATAAAATCCAGGCCTGGTCCTCCTCTTTCCCTGTCGTCACTCCTCCTTTGTATCCTTCCGGAGCTCCTCCGTGAGACTCGAGACCGGTGAGTGGCGCAGGTGTCGCCACTCAAAACAGCGCGACAGCCCCTCGCGGACGACTGTCGCGCACAAACAAAACCAAAACACAAAATAAAATCCAGGCCTGGTCCTCTCTCCTCTTTCCCTGTCGTCACTCCTCCTTTGTATCCTTCCGGAGCTCCTCCGTGAGACTCGAGACCGGTGAGTGGTGCAGGTGTCGGGCATTCGCAATTACTCCACCGGCCTCGCTCCGTTCCCACGGCTCTCGGCCCCGCCCCTCTCGTCACACAGGTATACTGTTAGAGGCTACAAAAAATAGTACTATGGCTGTGCCTTAGTTGCAAATGTGAATGAGAGACTGTACAAAATGCCATTTCACGAACAAGCAGGTATCAGCCTGTCAAACACAATGTATTAAATACCTCAATAAAATCTCAAAACTGTTTAATGTTTTTGAAAATATGCAATGAGTTGACTATAAATATTTTTATTTGCGTATAGATGTATTTTTGGTCCCTTTCATGTATCAGTGGATGATTTTAGCGATTTCACTTTTAGTTAAGTAGCCTATATTGTAACGGGCGAACGAGACGAGAGACATGCGGATCCATTTGCAAAGCTTTATCCTTAAACATAGTCAAAACAGGCAAGGGTCGGACAATGGCAAACAGGTATTTAGAGGGCAAGACAGAAGAGTGATCCAATAAACAGGGATAGGTCGATTAACGGCGAACATAATCCAAAGGATGAGGCAGGCGAGTAATCCACAGACAGATATTAATCCAGGCGAGGTGCGAACAGAATCCAAACAAGAAGAGAGAGAAATCCAAGACAGGCAGGTTATCAGGAACAGACAATCAGGCAAAACTAGACGTTACGAAACAGGACTAGAACTAGGAACTAGACTAGACTCAGACAGGATACTGGCTCTGTAAAGCGCTACCACTAGGAGAGTGATAAACGCAGAAAATACTCAGCGATTAGAGAAGGATTTGAGTGGTTGGTATATAGTGTGTGTGTGATTGGCTGCAGGTGAGTCCAATCAGTGCAATGGAGCGTGACGTGCAACAGTTGTGGTGTGAGAGTCAATGTAATCAGAAGGCGACCTCTGGTTGCGAGCAGGCGGAAGACCACGGACCGGATTCGTGACATATATAAAGGTCACATTAAAACTGCAATGTTTCCACCACAACAAACTTTTTTTAAGTTAGTATACTTGTTAAAGAAAAATGAAGGTATATATCACCTGTGAGCAAAAATATTTTAATGGGCGTAATTTCCAGTCATTTGGGTGTTATTTACAATTATTATTTAATTGCTTGTGTTTAGCATACATACAATAGTTACAAAAGCATCAACATCAACAAGGAATGTTCTTTTTTTTCTTCTTTTTTTTAACTCAAAAGTACAATACATTACATAATTACAAAAGACACATGTAATTTCTTTGTAGGTCAGCTTTAATGAGAATTAGGTGGATTGTGTTTCCATATATATATATATATATATATATATATATATATTCAATAATATAGTCTCAAACTTTTCAAGTTAATTCTCAATTTTTTGCATGTGACTCTTGAAATGTTTAGGTTCAGGTTTTATTCTCCTCCTATTCTCAAAAAAGCTTAAATTAAATGAGTGCCAAAGAATGGGGATGTACTCAAGAGTGGACACATCTGCATCTCATCTACTGCATCTCATTTCAATTTACTTGAAGTTTTATAACTGTTTGAAGAAAGGTCTGATCTTCATGCTGATAGATTTGAGCGAATACCACGAGCCCTTCCTGTTCATCCACACGATGCCATCATCTGTCCCATGCTTGGCCATATATTTTGTATAAGATCCTCCCCAGTAGTATCGCCCATTAGGATTACAAGAGTGGCATCGGTTGTACCACCATCCTCCTCCATCTTCTCTTGAACGTTGTTTAGAAGGATCTCCAGGTATCCTGTTAAGACAATTGGAGGGAGAAAGAACATTTTAGATACTGCGCAGCTTTTCCATGCAGTTTTCAATCTGGAAACCATTCGGACAAACTTTTAGGACAATACGCACCATTTGTCATTATCTCTGTCGTAGGTGCTGAACATCATGCCATTATGGATGGTCATGGTACAGTTCTCTCCAAACAGTTCTTTTGCGCCATCCAAGAATGTATTTTCAGCTGTTCCTGAGTAACGTCCAGCTGTTAGAATGTAGTTGGTAGCTTCGCCCTGCACAGTGAACTGCTCGTATTGAGCATAAACCTTTGAACCGGACCAGTCTTCCATTTCATCCAGAAGCTCAGTGGGACCCATCTTTGTAAGTTGACTAATACGGTCGTTACCCAACTAGTACTCACCTAAAACAGTTCACAAAGTTCATTAGAGAATGAGACGATATGAAGAGTCTGTGAATGTGATTTAGAGATTGAGAACCCTGCTGAAAAGACCAGCTTCTATAACTTCTATGCTGGTCTAGGCTGGATTATGCTGGTTTGGTTCTGGTGGACTTTTGTAGACATGGTGTTCACCAGTTATTTTGGTAATGCTGGTTGACTGGTTGTGGAAGTTGGCACACCAGCATTCAAAACATAACACATATTGGTCTTTTCTGCAGGGTTTAACCACATAATTTTAAGAATTTTAAGTTCTTGGCTAGATATTTCAGGTTCATCAGTTAAACTCCCACATGCAGAACCACAACATATAATTTGCCAGCTGTAGCTCACCTGGAGTCTGGCAGTGGCCTTTGCCCACATCAAAAGCAATGTTTCCAAAGCCTCTTCGGTATTCGTCCCAACGCCTGCCAAAATCAATACTGCTGTCCGTACGGTTCTGGATGTGCACCCAACCTTTAAAATAGTAGAGAAGTTTATAATCATGGTTGGTAAAACGTGCCTCTACACACATTTTTTTCTCCAAAAGTCCAAAAACATACCTATACAATTCACTGCAGTTTCTGACTGAAATAAACACTACTGGCAGTAAAACACCAATAACTTCTATTCCTTGTCACACAAATTATGTTTACGGGGCAGATTATTGATTAACAAAGATTTATTTTTGTACAGTTCCTTGCGTAATACTATGTTATGACCTAAAAAAAACACTTTTACCACAGCGCATTATTTGTAAACTAGTTTGCATCACATAACCAGCTACATATGGCTTTTCTGACCGAGTAAACTTGCTCAGTAGCTCACCTGGTACAGCACTGCGCTTGTGATATGGAGCACTTGGGTATGAGTCTAGTGAAACATGAGTAACGATAAAAGAGCTCAACGACTTGTAGAATCAAGCTAAAATGGAAAGGTTGCTTCAGCAAATGTGCTTTTTAACTTACATTTGTTTTTGAACACATTTTCGTTTAGGTTTGGGTTTAGTGTAGATGCTCCGTTATTTTTCACTGGACATTTCACTTCACGATTTGCCAGATTGACATTCTTCTGTTTTGGATAAAACTGAATGCACTTTTAGTGCCACTCACATTTCAATTTGAAAGTATTGTGAAACATAACATCACTTTGCAGAAATGTCACCACGGGCACGTTTTTCCAATGAGCCTGCATTGGATGTTTAACTTTCCTCAACATGCCACATGATTTTGAAATCCTGAATTACGTTAGGGTTAAGGGTTTGTTTAAAAGACAAAGTGGACATACCTTCGTTTTTACTCTTCTGATTTCAGAAGACCTTGTAAGGCAAGCTGAGTGGATCAGGCCATATGAGGTACATCTGAGATTCCTCTCCTCCTTTGCGAATGACGTCTTCGCACTCTTTGCCAGAAACCACAGGAATCGGGCAGCTGACTTTACAAGGCATTTTGGCACTTGGCCCTCTGAGTAGTGATGGCTTTCTCCAAACGCTGAATCTTCTCACGGATCTTTTCTAGCACACACTGTAGGATTTTAATGTTTTGGGGGAAGGTGACATCCATAGTGTCCTTAATATAAGCATGCTGGGTCTCTAGGCTGTCTGTGTACTGACCAACCAACTATGAGAGAACACAAACAGTGATTTGGGGGATGTTTAATAATTGAGAATGTCTAATAAAAATGAAAAATGGCTTGACAAAGACAACAAATACTCATTTGGCAGTTATTATTTTATTCTTACTGACTTAATGTATATTTTTGATCAGATTATGTGTTCCCTGAGAATCAAACCCATGTTCACAGCATTACCAGTTGAGCTATAGGAACGCTAATCAAGAATCATTCTTGTCGGATCACTATAGACTATTACTTGCAGATATAAAAGTTTCTAAGATCTCTTATGAAGTATAGTTACCCTCGCTGACTCTTTGTCTTTGTGCTACTTCTGCGGTCATATCCAAGACGTAGCCATAGATAGAGTTGGTGGACTGGGTCAGCTCATCCACAGATCTTTTGAACTGATCTACAGTTGACCTCACGTTACGTTCTTGCTTCTGGAGGGTTTTGTTCAACTCACAACCTGTGGGACATAACACACCCTGAAGAGGGGAAAAAAGAGTTTAGTTTTGTGTGTGCAATATTAACTTGAATTAGGGTCATAACCATCATAAACACCAATATTCAGATTACTGGTTGACAGAATGGTTTTTCAATAATAGATGATTAATGCTGTACAATTGGTCTCCCCAATAATGAACATTTAGTTATGTCATTGACTTATAAATAGAAATATAGCAATTAACAGGGTGACTAATGCTTCACAAACTTCTATCAAAGTAGTCTCTGATTTTCATTTTAGTTCTATATTGTTATTAAGGTTATTCCTCTAGGCCTCATCTGAACACATACTGCACAAGTAGAATCACATTTGCACTCTGACCATTTTCTCTGACATGTGGTCACATCCACCTGACTCTAGCAGCTCTTCCTTCTCCTGCACAAGTTTTCCCACCGGTGCTGCAGCTAGTCTTCCACGGTAATGAATATATTCATTACCCATATATTCACATATGACATATATGTATATGTATATGTATATATATATATATATATATATATTCACATATGACATATATGTATATGTATATGTATATATATATATATATACAGTACATACACACAGACACACATTATTCCTTTTGTATTAATTTATTATTCATACATTTTTTTCTATGATTTATACGGTATATGATTTGAATTTATTGTTTACTACTTTTCTGGAAGTGAGTTTGAAATTTTTTTTTTTTGTCTTCCTAAAAAAGTGGGATAGAAAGCAAACAATACTCACTATATTATCAAAATGTAACATTATAATTCCATACAATATTATAATAAATAATATTTACCGTTCCATCATCTTCATCATAGTCACTCTGAGCAAAAGCTCCAACAACACACTGACAAAGTAAAAAGCGAAGTTTCATTTTTGTAGAGCTCACACTTCAGCTGTAGATAATTCAGTGCTGCTCTCCCAGAATTTATACCAGATGCCCCCCTATACTGGAACAGGAGGGACTGCAGCGCTGGTTAATCTTTAATTTTCGAGATGTGACTTTTGGTAATCAGTTCAAGGGCGGCATCATATTTGGGAAATTAAGAAATGACACGAACAAAGCAATAATAAATAATCATGAAGCAAATGTATGCAACTGCATATTTCAATATAACAAACAAACTGTACAGTGGGTACACTATGTGGCTGATAATACCGAATGTAAAAAAAAAAAAACATTTGCAATGGCAGGACAGATTTTGCAATGGAAGCCTCACTTCTGGCAGCATTTGATCTGAATTGCCTACTAGGCCACTATACATTATACAAAATATGTGTATGAAAAAATAATTCCAGTGTCCCAGTGCAATTTGTGTTCAAACTGTAATAAAAACATGAAATTTTTAGCAAAATGACAACCCAATTGTGAAAGCACAATCATGGTTTTGACTTTTTCAAGGTTATTTATTAACATTAAAGAGAAAAGGATCTCTGTTTGAGAAGTATGTTCTGTTAAATCTGCATTACTCAGCAAGTAATTAACTATTGCTGTTTGTCTGGCCAGTGTGATCTGTTGTGCCATATCTTCAAACATCCACATCTCTGACTTTGTCTCAGAGTTAACAGACATGACAATGACAAATAGACACTTTGTACTCAATGTGTAGTGAAATAATTACATTAAAAAAACGATAATGCTCTCAATCACTCTCTCCTATAAGTATTGATAGCTTTGTATTTACCATAAACTCTGTTGTGTCATATTTGATACACAAAATGTAAAAAATTTCAAACTTTTTTGGAAAAACCTGAAATATCCATTAAATGTGTTACTGCCCATATTCCTTTTTACACCCAAGTCCCTAAAAACAAAGATTTTCTAATTCTCAGAATATACCTGTTGTTCCATAGGGGTGCATTTTGTGGTGTGAAATTGCGCTTAAATAATAATTTTCAGTACAGAAGAACTTGCTGATGGAAGTCAGATAATTGTACAGGTAATTTATATAAATCATATAGTCACAGCGCAGTAGAAAATCAACTCCGCCCATTTTTTTGGGAAATTACATTGGGTATACTGACCCAAAAGGAGTCTTTATGACAAACTAGGAATTCAACCACTTCAATCTTAGAACACCATTCCTCACAGCAAAATATATGACATTCATGCACCCGCTTCAATACTCTTGATCATGTCAGCTTTTCTGATATAATGGCATTTATCCTTCCAGATAAAGTTGAAATTTATCTTTGAACATATTGTCTGAAACAACACTGAACAAAATTATAAATGCAACACTTTTGTTTAACACTCAACTCAAAAATCTAAGATTTTTCCTATCTACACAAAAGGACTATTTCTCTCAAATATTGATCACAAATCTGTCTAAATCTGTGTTAGTGAGCACTTCTCCTTTGCCGAGATAATCCATCCTTTTAGTCCAGTCAGCAGGGGGTGCTCATTGCCTGGCTTGAATGGGTGCAAAAGCTCTAATATAATGACGTGGACTTTGGACTGTGGAAAGGAGCATTCTTCAGATGAGGCATTAAACTGGCCTCATGACATTCTGTTTTCATGAATTCCCCGCCTCAATTACGAATTTGACTTCCCTTATTTTTTTTTATTTTTTTTAAAGGCGGTAGCACATTCTGATGGCTGGTAGGACGTTGTGGAAAACTAGCTTGCTGCTGGAGCTATTTTTATTCTGGCCAGCAAGGGGTGCTCATTCCCTGACTTGTATGGGTCCAAAAGTCTTAGTATAACGATGCAGACTTCAGACTGTAAAAAGTAGCAACCTTTTGATGAAGCATAAAACCAGCCCCTGTAAAAAGGAGCATTATTCAGTTGAGGCATTAAACTGGCCTCCTGACATTCTGTTTTCAATAATTTCCCACCTTAATCATGAATTTGACCTCATTGTTTAAGCCGTATTGAGCTTGTCAGTATGCGCCAACAGTCCTACACGGAAGCAGCTCCGGGCGGATTACGGCGTTGGCATGCGCCGCTCAGAAGTGACGAATGAGGAAGCGCAGGCGAGAGATCAAAACAAAACACTGGTCGCTTATTAGAAGTACAAAACGAGGATTTGTAAAGAAGAATGTAGGATGATTTCGATATAAGCCAAGAGGAGACTGGTTTTCCTTTGCTAAAGTAAGGAAACTTTGCTTTCTTTGCTCCTGTTAACAAACGTTGGTTTTCCCGAGACTCACCGGCGCATGCGCAACGCTGAACTCATACGTAATCTGCCCGGAGCTGCTTCCGTGTAGGACTGTTGGCGCAAGCTACATTAAAATGATTATTACGTTTTGAATATGTATATTTTTCTTACAAAACCCCATCGATTCGCTACAGGAGGCCTTTGTTCACCCCCCGGAGCCGTGTGAGACACTTTTTTTATGGATGGGCGCTTTTTATTTAACTTATTTTAGACTGATGCATGCAACACCCGCTGAGTGGCATTAAACAGCTTGAAAGATCAAAGACAATTTTTAATGTAACTCAGACTGGATTCGTCTGAAAGTAGAAAGTCATATACACCTAGGGTGACTTAAGGATGACTTGAGGGTGAGTAATTTGTGGGCTAATTTTCATTTTTGGGTGAACTAAGTCAACTAACCCTTTAAGGGTACTAGAGCAGTGTTGGGAGTATGGAAAAGGGGAATGTAATAGTTTTGAATGGGTGGTTGGAGATTTAGTAAAGGAGTTGGCTATTAAAGAGTTAAGTGTTAAGTGGTTTTACCAGCAGTCCCTTTGTGGATTTTGCCACAGCCTTCAGTTGATTTAAGAATGCTGGAACATAGGAAGATAGAAGGCCAGAGTGAACTAGAGGAGATCCAGGTAAGGGAATACCTGTGGTTAAAGTATGGACATAAAACACAATTATATACAGATGCATCAAAAAATCCAGATAATGAACAAGAAAGGGGTAGCAGCTGTCATTCCAAAAATGCAAATATCCAGAATGGTAAGGATCTGAAATAAGTCATCAGTATTTTCAGGGGAATTAATAGCAATAATGATGGCATTCAGATGGATAAGCGAGGCAGGATTAAAGGACGAGGTAGTATGTTCAGACTCCAGTTCTGCTCTTATGTGCATTGAAGCACAACAGTCAGACACTAGGCAGGATTTAGTAGTGGAAATTCTGCAAGAATTATATACGTATAAAAGGGTGGGCGTAATATTCCAGCTCACACGGGGGTGAAAGGGAACCCCACCAGCAGACAAACTGGCGAAACAAGCTCTGAGGGCCACTAGAATAGAAATGGAAATATCATACAGTAGATATGAAATTAAAGCTATAATTAAAAAGCAAATAAATCAAAGATGGCAACAACTGTGGGAGACAGGAAATAAAGGTAGACATATGTATGAAATACAGCCAAAAGTGGGGAAAAGTAGGTAGTCAGGTGGAAGTAGAAGAGAGGAAAACATTTTATCCAGACTTAGAATAGGACATACATGACTTAATAAAACAATGCAATTAATGTCCAAGCGTCCGACAGGATGTTGTGAATGGTGTGGAAAAGACCGAAACGGTACACTCTAAAAAAATCTGGGTTAAATACAACCCAGTGCTGGGTAAAATAGGGACAAACCCAGCGATTGGGTTGTTTTGACCTAGTGGTTTGGTTAAATGTTTTGACCCAGCGGTTGGATTAAATGTTTAACCCAACCGCTGGGTCAAAACAACCCAATTGCTGGGTTTGTCCCAATTTTACCCAGCACTGGGTTGTATTTAACCCAGCATTTTTTAGAGTGTAGAACATGCTATCATGTATTGTGAACAGTATAAAGATGGTAGAGAAAAGTTATTAGAAGCGGTTCAGAGGAAAGAGGACATTGAAATTAATTTGAGATACCTGTTAAACCCAGAACAGAGAAGTAATAACAAAGCAGCTTTAATTAAATATTTGGAGAACACAGGTTTAATGAATAGGATGCTGAACACGCAGCGCTGGCTATAGCATAGATTTTCATTGAGACGAAGAGGATTGGGAGGGGGGACGTAGTTAGAGTCTCTGGATCGAGTTCACAGTAGGTGGCGGTAATGAGCGAAATTGGTGCGATCCGCCAAAAAAGGGAAGAAGAAGAAGAAGAAGAACGATTCATTCTATCTAATCTGGGGCATGAATAGCTAATTGTGAGTTTTAGAGGAGCTGAACACGCAGCGCTAGCATGAACATGTGATCTGAGTGCACCATAGATTGGAGAGAATAGGAAAAATCCACCAATTGTTTTTTTTTACTATGAAGACTTTGTGGTTTGAAAGATACTCATGTATGATCTGTAGTTTGTTTAAAGGGCCCAGCTGACTGCTAGAGCCACACAAGCTCACTTCTAGTCAGCTGATGCGTCTTGGAGAAGTGTAGACAATGCTTGGATGGCATGGCCATGTTTATCTCACACTCATATGACATACAGAAGATGCCAGCATCAGAGTATGTGCTTTAGATGGTTAGCCATAGGTTCAAATGTGTGAGGGAAAGATTCCCACCTTGTTTAATCACCTTTTTCTTTTTGCAATTGTAATAAAAATTCTTTTTTTTATTCCATGTAGTCTTTCAAATATTATTATTTATCTCTGAAATACTTGATTCTGATTGGCCATTTGCTACATAATGCTGTTAAATATATTTGTTCATGGAGTGCAATATTGCCTGCCCACTTTTGTAGCGGCCTTGGTTCCAATTTGTCCCATTTATTTTTACCATAGGGATTTTACAAAAGTCCTTCTTATATCAACCAGCTACGAGGTGAATCGCATTATAACAAAATTTAATTTTAAGGAAAAAAAATTTAAAAATCAGACAAAAAGACGAAGGTACAAATCTAATGAAATTGTTCTTTTAGTGCGATTTGCTTGTGATTTTATGGTGATTTCTCTGCAGGATCATGGTTAATGTAGTTTTTCACCAGGATAAAAAGACGATTATAT